GGAAAATCAGAAAACATACTAAGTGTGAAAGGATAAGCAATTCAATTTCAGATACAAAAAGATCTTGCCCTACAACAGATGCATACAAGCAAGAGGCCTTCCCATTCAAATATCCCATCAGAGCTCCAATTAGAGCAGTAAAATTGTCATTTCCGTGGCTAAAAAGAAGAGAAGACAGAGAACTAAAATGTATTAAAGGTAGAGTTTCATCTAAGAAACAAACCCTAAACAAGAAACTTACTGAAAATTTGAGGCCAGTCGCGATTTCACCCGATATTTGGCGTGATGAGTGCCTGATCCACGTTTGCACAATTGGGAGAACGAAGAATGCAGTTTAGGGTAGAAATAAAGACAGGTTAACAACCCTTCTCACTTGTTGTTTCACAAAAATGACATGACAGGTGGTAAGTTAGCTCACAATTAGCCAGAAGTCTCATTATAAGTTATAAGTTGATCAATTACGAGCTACTATCTCGTGTTTGTGAGAAGTGTTTATAAGTATTACCTTTTTTTAGTGACTCTGTTTGGTCCTGTCCGATTAGACCAATGGTCCAATACTATAAATCCGGTCCAATCTCGGTTGATTTGAGCCAATTAATAGTTCGGTTTTTCAGTTGTTCTCGACCAAATTTGGCCCGATTCTTGGTCTAACCGGTTGAATCAACCTGTTCAGACCGAGTTTTAAAACAAGGAATTTTATACTTAAATTTATTAGCTATTTTTTATTTAAAGTTCCAATCGAATTTAAATTAAACAAAGGGATGTATTTATAACATCACTCTTTTGAATCTACCTCCAACTAATCAAATTTTATTGGCCTTTTTGGGAAATCAAGATCTGATTGGATGTCAGTAGTACTCCATTTTATGTAGAACTGAAAATCCAAATCTCATTGGGCCTCAACTCAATGAGCCTCATTCAAGACAAGTAATTTTCAGTTCCCATTAAATAATTTTCTTTTTTGTTTTTGACAATTTTGATGCTCACAATTAACTAGACATAGTTCAAGCCAAAATGTTGCAAACTCTAAGCTATTTTAATGTAGAAATATAAATAATTGCTTTAACATAAGTTTTTCTTACTCCGTTATATATTTATATATCACCCCTTGTATTTATAAAACTATAAGCTTATGATTCTGTTCTCTTAATATTATTATATGTTACTAGAGAAGTTGTCTTACTAATAAAACAACAAATCTCACATTTTCTTGCTATTTCCATATAAGCCAAACGACAGCAGCAGGAAAACAAAACCAAGGGTGATATTGTAAATTTGAAATCAAATGAAAGTCAACCATGAAGACTCTTGCAAAAAACATAGAAAACAAAACAAAAACCACAAATTTTCTTACTATTTTCCCGGTATCCAAATAGAAAGAGTTGTATATTATACTTTTTTAGAGTCTTGAAAAATTCGTAATTGAATTGATTTTGTGGGGTGCTACCGTGCCTTTTTTAAGGATGATATCTCTTCAACTGGGAAAATGTTGGGGAAAAAGAAATTGGATTGATAAGTTTCTTTTACGTTAAAACATAAATCCCGATGTATGATATAATAACAAAAATCTCTCTACTACTCTTGAATTGTTAGTAAGCTATTAAAATTTATATGCTTATAAGTTAATAAATATTACCAAATTTTCCCTTTATTATTTATTTTAATACCAAAATTTAACAATAAAGAGTTTTTTGTTGTTTTTGAAACGCCCTACTACTCTTGAACTGTTAATAAGTTATTAAAATTTATACTTTTATAAGTTAATAAATTTAATAAATTTCCCTTTCATTGTTTATTTTTAATACCAAAATTCAAATTTGCAAGCTCGTCAAACTCAAACTTGACATTGTAGCAAACGAGTCAAGCTCAATTAGCTCAAAACTTAGCTCGGATAGTTTACACTCCTAATCCATATATATATTAGTGGGCCAGTGGCCATTGGATCTTAACTTGAAGTAAATTGTGAAACTTTTTTTTTTTTTTCTTTTTTAACTAAGAGGATTTGTGATTAATATAAAACCTAATTTATTGATTTATTAGTATAAAATAATGACGAAAAAATTATCACAATTTCAATATAAATACAGTACATTATACGTAAATGCATATAATAAGATTTGAATAATGTCAAATACTTATTTATTACTGTCAAAAGTATTTATAATAAATGTCATTTGATATATTCTTTAAGAGTAATACTACACATACAACATTATGTGGCAAGATATAATTGGCTAATTTAAAGTTAAAATTAAACTTTCACCCAATCACATCTTGTCACATAATGTTGTATGAGAAATGTTGTATGGAAATGATGTATGTATAGTATTATTCATTCTTTAATTTATAACTATAATACATTATATGTAAATGCATATAATAAGATTTGAATAATGTCAAATACTTATTTATTACTGTCAAAAGTATTTCTAATAAATGTCATTTGGTATATTCTTTAATTTAAATAACTTAATAAAAAATGGGGTCACAAAGTAATGTTGTTTTCTTGTTCCTCATCAAGACTTAATGAAATCATTTCCAATGAAACTAAACACCATGGTTCCAACAAAAACTAAAGGCCATGATTTCTTAACTCCAGCCAATGCCCATTTCACCAATGTGGCTACAACCAGTTCTAGCAATTGACCCTCAGAATGATGCAAAACATTACAACAATCAACCAAAAGTCATTAAATCTAGCTCAGCACTGGCATAACAAAGAACCCTGTACAGTTCATTTGCTCCCAAAAGTTGAGCCACCAGACTGAACAAAAAGCCACAACTTCTCTACTTCCTAATATCGAAGGGCTTTTCCTAGTTTTAAATCAAATTCACCAAACAAGATCTTAGCTTTAGCTAACTTGCACCATTCCCATATCCCAAATCCGCCAGATCAACAGTCCCAAGCCTCTCCTCTTCCGGCAAAACTAACCAATTGGGACTTTGAAAAACTCTCAAGCACTTGAAATCATCCACATTGCCCCAGTTCCCCGTCTCCTTGCTCAACGCGGCAGCTTCCGAATCCTCGTCAATCCCTTCATATTTCAAACAATACGGCCCAAATCTGACCCCATCACAATCCTTAATGATCGGTCTACTCCTAACTTTCAAATAAAAGTCACTACAACTTTTCGCAAAAATGAATCCTAATTTAATGCGAAGCCAAAATCAACACACAGTCCTCAACTTCTTCAATCAAAATCGAGCCCGTCACAGGACCCGCGTAAACTCTATAACCCTTTAATTTATTAACAAAGAGAGCGTTCACACAACCCACTAATCTCACCTCACACGAGTCCAAACCCGCTAACGTAAACTCTCCAATTTCGGAACCCTTAAAGTCTCGGAACAATACTTCATTTTGTTTATCTCGATAACCCGGGGATTCACGAACAGGGAAATTTGACTTTGGTTTTGCTTCATTTGGTGCTGAAACGACACCATTTTGTGGGATCTGGGTTTGGGTTTTGGTGGGTTCGTTTCTGAAGGCGATTTTCTTTCTGGAGATCAACTGTGCTGCTAAGTTCTCGAGATTTTGTTTCAAATCCGAGATGGTTTTGAGAGATGGTCGGACTTCGTAGGAGGCAGATGATTAAGGTTTGCTCCACTGGTATGCTACCACAATATTGTTCCCTGCCATCTTTGGATGCGTAAGTTTTGACACTGTACCAGGCTAGATAGATTTCACCATAAAATTCATTATGGCCGATATCTAAATATTTTAGATGAGGATAGACACCAAAATTTTCAGATATGTTACCAATGAATTGGTTTTGGTCCATGTTGAGTCTCTTTAGGCTTGTGCAATATTTCAAGCCTTTAGGAATTGGACCAAAAAATTGTTGTGATGCACAGTGAATATTTGAAGTGAACCACCAACACAAATATTATGGGTAACTACTAGTGAAATTGTTAGTGTCTAACTCCAATACAGTGAACATGAAATTTCCTATTTCCTGGGAATGGAACCGGAAAGATGGTTTTTATGAAGGAATAAAAACTCTAATTTGTTCAGATTTTTAAAGGAATCAGGAATGGAACCGCTATTTATTTCTGCTTAACTTTAAATCAACAAGTTTTTGGTTTCCTATTTCAGGGGGAATAGAGCCAGAAAGTGAATTATTGAATAAGTCAATATAAAGTAGATTTCTCAAGCCACCAAGAGACGCTGGAATTGAACCTGAAAAATTGTTGCTACGAAGACTAATATTAGTGAGAAACTCCAAATTTCCTAATTCCTGAGGGATGGAACCAGAAAGTTGGTTGCAGAAAATGTACAAGACTTCCAGGATTTTAAGGTTTCCAAGACTTGAGGGGATTGGACCAAAAGCTATTTGTATCGATGTAAAATTCAACCAGATTTGAGAGGTTTCCCATCTCTATAGGAATAGAACCAGAAAGTGAATTATTAAAAAGATATAACCAAGCCATTTACTCAAATTTCCAAAAGAAGCAGGAACTGAACCGTCCAAGCCACTACTGTACAGAGCCAGTTCACTAAAACTTAGTTGTCCTATTTCTTTTGGAATTGAACCATTTAACTGATTCTCAGCCAGGTGGAGGGTCTCAAGATGCATGAGGAGACCGATTTCAGCTGGTATTTTCCCAAAAATGATTAGTTGACAGTCAAGATACTTCAATTTGAGAGATTACAAATTTGTGTAGAGATAACTCCAAAGAGTTCATTAATGGCAAGATCAAGACATGCAAGATGGGAAATGATGAAATGACAATTCATCGAGCTTACCTTTTAAACCTCAATAAGAGGTTCAATCTATGGATGCTTCAGCATGGTCACAAGAAACTCCAAACCAATTAGTGTAACGGCTTATCTTGGTTCTTTGTTGATTAGAATTATTGGTAGCATTAACAGGATAAAGAGACCATGAAGAGACATAATGGCTCTGGTTTTGAAGGTTGGCTTTCCATTTGAAAAGCTTGTGCTTCTTGAGTAGAATCAAAAGCTGGTCTAAATTGAAAATGTATCAAAACAAGATGATGAAAAAAACAGGGGAGAGTTTATTGAAGGATGAGAATGCCATGCTTAAACTAGTTAAATTTGTGAAATGCAGAGCCTAATTCAGAAGTCACATATTTTATAAACAGAGTTTGGAACTCTCAAGTCAATCAAGGTCATTGACCTAATCAAAACTAAACGGATGCTTGCATATTGATCTACTCTATGCAACACCACAAGCGTATGCGTAAACTGGCCCGAACACTGTGAGCTAACCAAAAAAAAAAAAAAAAGATATAGTCTTGTATTTGTTTGGAAAGCTATGATATCAAATTTAAAATTTAGATTTTATCCAACGTAAATGTCGCCTTTTTAAGACTTGACTTAAGATTGTATATTTTATCCAGTTGTTTTACAGTGTTGAAAATTATTTGTAGGATTGTCAGCGGCGCAATTATCAAGGATGTCTTTTTCATAAGTCTATCATTGATTATTTATTTATTATTATTATTATTTTACAATTTATTGTTAAATTTTATTAATTTTAAGGATAAGATTGCATGGCCAAGTAATCTAAAAGCAATGCAATTCAGTGGACTTCCTTTATTCCTTCACGACTTTGAAATTTGACAACAAATAGACCTCTTCCTGGCTTGTTCATATTTCTTAGTCACACCTAATCAAAACATTGAACAATCAATTTTCCATATGCCTTGAGGAGTAATTCGGTCTTGCAAAATCTTTATTTTCATCAAATGCTTGAGCTGATATGGCCCTTACAATTACTCTCTTATATATAGCCCATACAATATATTTCCGGATTTCTCCTTTGCTACTCCAACTAGGCTTTTATACAACGGCTCATCAGCATTGATTTAAGCATTCTTTATCGTGTGAGTTGCAAATGTAAATGGTGTATGCCACATCACAGTTTGATTGCTCCAACAATTTCATCACATAAATACTAATCTTGCAACATACCATAACATAACAAAACCATTATCAATAATGTTGGGTGGCTAAGTACCATGTATATAGCACTACTATAAATGTTATAGTATTTTGCTTATGCAAATTGTCCTTTTATACATATAACAATATATTTAATTTGCATATGGTCCCTTGTCTATTTTTTTTTTTTTCACACCTTATAATGCTTTCATCTTTCTAATGCCACACATTAAGTTTCAATAGAAATCATTGGATTAAAATTGTAATAACAAGCATAACATCAGCTTAAAGCTTTATTAGCATCATACATGAATCTTATTACATAAAATCAATTTTATCAAGTACATCATTAGATACTTCAAATAAAAACCGATACTTCTTGAAATATTAGTACAAAACCTCTAAAGGATGCTTGCATATTGATCTACTTTATGCAACACCACAAACGTTGCCTTCATGATTAAAATCTTATAATCACTATTAATCCAATTAATATAAGGTCTTTGTCTTGTACTTAAACATCTTCAAATGCATGTTTAATATTGTAAGAGATTGCTAGTTCCCTCGGAAATGACTGTTCTTTATGATGAAGTTTGTTTGCTTGGATATTCTAGTGTACCCACTAGCTAGTAACATTAACATTCATTTTGCGTAGTGAAAATTATTAATATAGTTTAGAGGACTCTGTTTCGTGTCTGCAAGGATTTTTTGTTTTTAATCATATACTAAAATAAACTATTTGTATTTTTGAGACCATTCTAATGTTTACATTTTCTGCCCTGTTATAATCAGGACTATTCCATTCTACCTTTTAACAAGAGAAAATAGGGTATTACAAAATCAAGATCTCAGGTTGTGAATGAAGAATGAAAAATCATTAACCCAAATACTATGACCTCATTTCCGCCAAACCTAAGGAAGAAAAAGTTATCACCTCCAGATATATCACGAAAATTACCATTAACACAGAATTTTGGCAATCAGTACGTGCACACTTCTTATATACTACAGTTTACTATTTAGCATGTTTGAATTAAACTTTGTTTGCAATATATTAATTTTAAATGACTTTCACTAGTCCATTTTCTTTTTTTCACTCATTATAACTTTCATATTTCTAATATAGAATAAAATCATCAGATTAAAATTATAATGAATTGCATAAAATCATGAGCTTAAGGCTTTATTAGCCTCATCAATAATCTTGAGTACATAAAACCAGTTTTATCAATTACATCAAATAAGACAGTTGGAAATATGAAAAATGATACACAAGCTTGTGAATAGAAGTATAATTAGTGGGGAGTTCAAACAAGTCATGATCTTCGTGAAATCTCAACTCTCTTGAGGAATAAAACTAGAAAGATTGTTATCACGGAGGCTCAAGACTTTAATTGTTCAGAAAACTGAAGAAGGAGGGATAGGACCACTGAATTGATTACTAAACAATTGAGATACTCGAGATTTCTCAACTTACCACAGATGATGGAATTAGACCTGTAAGTTGTTGCTATAAAGGCTCATATCGTTAAAGATTCTAAATTTCCGAATTCCAGAGGAATGGAACTGGAAAGTTGGTTGTTGACATCATGCAACAAGGTTAGCTTTTGTAGTTTCGCAAAGTAGAAGGGATTGATCCCTTAAATAGTTGTGTTACCCATGTAAAGTTCAACTAGATTAGAGAGGTTTTCGATCTTTGCAAATGGAACCAGAAAGTGAATTATTGAAAAGATTCAACCAAGACAATTGCTCAATTTTCCCAAAGAAGCTGAATTGATCCATTGATTTGATTTTTAGCTAATGTTAATTCACACAAGGTATTCTAGGTTTCCTATTTCCGTGGGAATAGAACCAGAAAGTTTATTACTAGATAAATGAAGATAGTTGAGATTTCTCAAATGACCTAGAGACGCTAGAATGGTACCTGAAAGATTGTTGTTTTGAAGGTTAATGAAAGTGAGAGATTCCAAGTTTCCTGATTCCTGAGGAATGGAGTCTGAAAGTTGGTTATCAAATATGTGCACACAGTTAATTCTTAGTTTTCCAAGCTAGAAGGGATTGGACCTGTTAAATAGTTTTGTAGTCATGTAAAGTTCAACTAGATTATAAAGTTTCCTATCTCCAAAGGAATCGAACCGGAAAGTAAATTATTAAAAAGATTCAACTGTGCTAAGTTTCTTCAAATTTCTCAAGATGCGGGCATTGAACCAAATTGATTTTGCTTAAGCCTAACTCACAAGGTATTTTAGGTTTCCAAGACTTGAAGGGATTGGGCCAGTTAAGCTATTATTATTCATGTAAAGTTCAACCAGATGTGGAGAGTTTCCCATCTTTGGAGAAATGGGACCAGAACGTAAATTATTAAAAAGAACAAAATAGACAAGTTACTCAATTTCCTAAGAGCCGGAATTGGACCGTGCAAATGGTTATTGTCGAGACCTATTCACAAAGAGAACTTAGCTACTCTAATTCTTGAGGCATTGAACCATTCAACTGATTCTCAACCATGTAGAGTCTCAAGATGTGTTAATTGGCCAATTTCTGATGGTAATTTCCCAAAAAACAAATTAATTTGAGAATTCAGGTACTTTAGTTTAGAGAGATTACCAATTTGCGCCGGAATAGAGCCAAAGAGTTCATTATGGCAAAATCAAGATAAGCAGATGAGGAAATTATGAGAATGATAATTCCTCTAGCGTAACTTTTAAACCTGCAACAGATAAGTGAATCTATGGATTCTTCATGCTGGTCACAGGAAATTCCAAACCAACCACAAGGGCTTATTTGGCTGTGAATTGGGTTGATTTGCTGGTGGCATTATCAGGATAAAGAGTCCAAGAAGATAGGAGAGAATGGTTCTGGTTTTGAAGGTTGGCTTTCCATTTTAGAAGAGCTTGTACTTCTTGAGAAAATCTAAAGCAACGTTGAGTTAAAATGAAACGCAACAAACGGGCTTAGGAAACAAGGGAGAGTAATTTCTTGAGGGATGAGAAATCCATTTTATGCTTAAATTTCTTGAGTTTTAAACAGAGAATTTTATACTTAAATTTATTAGCTACTTTTTATTTAAATTCCAATCGAATTTAAATTTAACAAAGGGATCTATTTATAACATCACTCCCTTTTAAATCCACCTCCATCTAATCAAATTTTATTGGCCTTTTTGGAAATCAAGATCTAATTGGACCTTAGTAGTACTCTTCTTCTTCTTTATCTACATAAAACAAAAATCAAACACTATATAGGAGGGATAACAAGAAGTCACCTGCATAATTCAACAGCAGCAAACTTGTACTCCATTTCCTTTCTCTCAATTGAGGCAAACTAAAATTCTTTAAGACAACTCCACTCCTACAAACATATGAATACAGATTCAGTCACATTAATTACTAAAGCCGAGACAGTATCATAACTAGGCCCTTTAAAAATGCAAAATGAATGACTAAGCGTAGACTTAACAAATCCATGTAACTTAATTCACAGTTGTGTTTTTTTGCGGCAGCTGTTACATCTAAAAAAAAAAAAATTAATCTTATTTAATAATAACCGACTTCTACTTAGCATTAACATCTAATTAATATCATACCCTGCTGTGAAGCTATACATATGAAAAACTATACTATAACACCCCCCTTTGATATAAACTCTTTATCCCAATATGTATACTCCAAACCTTCCAATTTCCTATTTTAGACATCTCGTCAATAAACCGCTTCCACTTGTTCACTCTAGCCAAGAAAAACAGTTTAATAAGATTAGACACTAAGGAAAGATTACATAACAGCTCATGTGATGAAAACTCACATCAGGAGTGTTCCGCCGCTGTCTATTGAAAGGATAGCCAACAACGAAACCTTTCAATCAAATTCCAAGATCTGCATAATAAAGATTATAGCTGACTTGATAAGTTATCTATCATGATCCAACTTACAGGTTAATCGATATAAACACCATAAACACAAGATTCACCTCAACAATCCTAATAAAATAATTCAATGCACAATCATAATGCACAATCAAATTCACAACCCTGCAATTCAATTCCAAGGGTATCATTCAAAAATTTGAGACAAAACCCAAACATGATCTTCACTAAATACTATACTAACTAATTGTTAGAAAAAGAAGTAAGAATATAAGTGATGGAGAAACTTTACCAGGCATTGAAAACACTAGCCATCAAATCAATATCTCCTCTCTTCCTAACCAGAACACTGCAACGTTGACATAACCCCAATCATAAAGTCACAAACACAACATAGAATCAACAAGAACATAAAACAAAAGTAACAAATTTCTACATACTAACATCCACAGAAACAAAATAAATTACACCACTAATACCTTAAAGGTGATACAATCTTATCATTCGAGTTTGAAACAGCCAACCCAACGTATTTATCACCCACATTCAACCCAAGCAATCGACCTCGTTTTGAAATGTTTCCCTTGAGGATATTATGGAACAAGTTCAAATTTTCACTACATTCTCTAAGATTAACTCATCATTAAGCATTTTACGCGATAAACATAACAATGTATATATTTCAATTTCATAAACTCTAACAAACATAAATCATAAGAAAACACACTATTTCGAATTTTAAACTCTATCAAACAGTAAACATAAGAATGTACATGCAAACTGGAGTTGGAGTTGGAGTTGGAGCTGGAGCTGGAGCTAAGAGTTGTATAAATGTTTCTTTTTCCAATGTGACATTTCCACAAAAGTTAATAGATAAAACGTAGCAAAACATTTAGTTATCTATTATGGCGGGAAGCATAACACAAAATCAAAGAAAACAAATGGGCAGCACTATATTAAATTGATAGGAGGAGTTTCCTTAATTTTTGAAAGAACTAAAAAGCGATTTGGAATAAAAAAATCAATTACATGCAAATATCAAACTAGTAAAGAAAAAGAAAACACATGCGAATTATCCTGGGTCACCCAAAACTGGGCTACGTCTAGTAGAGCCAATATTATTGCTATATTACTCACCTCTCTTGTCATAATAGTTATTTTGCTATGATTTTATATATCTCTCATACAAGATAATAATGTCTTCATATACTAGGTTTAATGTGAAAACATAATATACCAGGATTCCTATTCTTAAGGCAAACCCTATTAGGAATTTTTTCCTTAAAGGAATCCTACAACAGCTATACATGATAAAGCCAAAACCACTTACGGTTCGAGGCATTAATCAGCTAGGAAATTAGTTTAAATAAAATCAAATTTGCGTAATTTATGAAGGCGGATATGTTAATTAATTATTACTAACCGCTAAAATTTACCAAATACAGTATTTATACCAGTTCTATCGGCTAAGTGACGAGTCTCAAGTTGATCGGTTAAACCGGTTCGACCAACAAGTCAGACCGATGATGTCATCATGCTAAGTCCCCGCCTGATGACATCATCCAACAAAACATTTTGAAAAAAAATAATCCCAAAATAAATGTGAATAAAAAATACCACTATAACAAACAGTACTCTAAACTGCAAACTGCACAGCTCAAAAGCTAGACCTCTTTTTTCTCTTTAACTACAGCACAATTTCATCAAAGATCCTCAGACTATCACTAACTCTGGCACAGCGCTTCACTCTGCATAAAATACTTAGAACACCATCCCTCCACAGAACACCCAAACATATTCCATGATTATAGTATCAATATACACTACATTAACACTCTGTACTAACTAACATTTCTTTCCATCTTTCACTAATTAAAACCGATGTACATAAGTTCATAACATGCAGGATTTTGACCGAAGAGATAGATGCAATGCTTAACTTTAATACCACTGACGCTGTCTATATGCAGTAATTTTAATTTTGGATTTTGCATATTATCATGGATGCATGAACAACATTATTTTTTTTTTTTTTTTTTTTTTGGTAAGTTGCATGAACAACGTTCTATATTTTGAATGTTAAAATATGCCCTCACTATAGAACATAATAACACATACTGCTTATGTGAAAAAGAAAAAAAAAATGTATTAGAAGAAATTAAATCATAGTTCAAGGAAATCTAGTAGCCTTCAACAAAAATGTAACTCTACATGTGAAAGAATAATAAATAAATAAAGTTGGGAAGTTTGCCTGCGGTTTGCAAACTGCAGTAGCAAATTGAAATGCTATTTACTTCAACAGTGTCCACATGACATGAATACAACCTTCAAAATGAACTAATATTTCATATACATAATGCAACCCTAAATTGCAATGCTATTACTTCAACAGGATTAGGTGTGCACGTGAATACAGAAAAATTGCACTCATTCTACAAGACAGAATACATTTTTTATTTCTATAAACTTGTTCATTGAAAATGATTTCAAACTTAATCAAAATGACTTCAGAGATAACCCATTAACTAACCAAAAACTTAATGAAATCCCGAACTATTCAAACATCAAGTCCTTTGTTTTTGTGACAATTACACAGCGAGTCATATTCAGAATTAATGTCCCAACTCCCAAGCAATAGATATACAGGAAAATCAGAAACATACTAAGTTGAAGGATAAGCAATTCAATTTCAGTACAAAAAGATCTTGCCCTACACAGATGCATACAAGCAAGAGGCCTTCCCATTCAATATCCCATCAGAGCTCCAATTAGAGCAGTAAAATTGTCATTTCCGTGGCTAAAAAAAAGAGAAGACAGAGCCTAAAATGTATAAAGTAGAGTTTCATCTAGAAACAAACCCTAAACAAGAAACTTACTGAAAATTTGAGGCCAGTCGCGATTTCACCCGATATTTGGCGTGATGAGTGCCTGATCCACGTTTGCACAGTTGGGAAGAACGAAGATGCAGTTTAGGGTAGAAATAAAGACAGGTTAACAACCCTTCTCACTTGTTGTTTTCACAAAAATGACATGACAGGTGGTAAGTTAGCTCACAATTAGCCAGAAGTCTCATTATAAGTTATAAGTTGATCAATTACGAGCTACTATCTCGTGTTTGTGAGAAGTGTTTATAAGTATACCTTTTTTTAGTACTCTGTTTGGTCCTGTCCGATTAGACCAATGGTCCAATACTATAAATCCGGTCCATCTCGGTTGATTTGAGCCATTAATAGTTCGGTTTTTCAGTTGTTCTCGACCAAATTGGCCCGATTCTTGGTCTAACCGTTGAATCAACCTGTTCAGACCGAGTTTTAAAACAAGGAATTTTATACTAAATTTATTACTATTTTTTATTTAAAGTTCCAATCGAATTTAAATTAACACAAAGGATGTATTTATACATCACTCTTTTGAATCTACCTCCAACTAATCAAATTTTATTGGCCTTTTGGGAAATCAAGATCTGATTGGATGTCCGTAGTACTCCATTTTATGTAGAACTGAAAATCCAAATCTCATTGGCCTCAACTCAATGGACCTCATTCAAGACAAGTAATTTTCAGTTCCCATTAAATATTTTTTTTTTGTTTTTGACAATTTTGATGCTCACAATTAACTAGACATAGTTCAAGCCAAAATGTTGCAAACTCTAAGCTATTTTAATGTAGAAATATAAATAATTGCTTTAAACATAAGTTTTTCTTACTCCGTTATATATTTATATATCAACCGAATCATTGGCACAATACCAACTCACCAGAGACAAAACCAAGAGAGAAATTAGACCTCCTGCAAGATACTCATATGCTGACTTATTGTTTACAGCTTTGGTTGCAGGTGCTGAAATTCAGATAACTGAACCAGACAGCTACGATGAAGCAATAAGGTCCAAAGATAGGGAGAAATGGCAAGCTGCCATGGAAGAGGAGATGCACTCCTTGAAGGTAAATGGGACCTGGTCCCTAGTACCCTGTCCTAAAAATCAAAAGCTTATTGACTGCAGATGGCTATATAAGGTAAAGGAAGGTATGACTTCAACTGATCCTCCTAGATTTAAAGCTAGGCTTGTAGCCAAAGGCTACACCCAAAGGGAAGGGATTGATTTCAACGAAATCTTCTCCCCTGTAGTCAAATATAAAACCATTAGGATCATGCTATCGATAGTTGCACATCTAGACCTAGAACTAGAACAGGTAGATGTAAAAACTACTTTCTTGCATGGTAATCTAGATGAAAAAATCTTCATGAAATAGCCTATGGGGTTTATTGATAAAAACTGTCCTGAACATGTTTTCCTATTACACAAATCCTTGTATGGGCTTAAACAAGCCCCTAGACAGTGGTATAAAAGGTTTGACACCTTCATTACCAGTATAGGATTCAAAAAAAGTGAGTATGACAGTTGTTTTTACTATGATTTAAATTTTGGTATGCCTGTATATTTACTACTTTATGTAGATGACATGTTGCTAATTAGTAAATCAAAACCAGAATAAATGACTTGAAGTCTAGGCTGAATTCTGAGTTTGACATGAAGAGCTTAGGTAGTGCAAAAAGGATCCTAGGGATAGTCATTGACAGGAAAAGAGAGGACTGTGAACTAAAACTTTAGCAGTCCTCCTACTTACTGAAACTGGTATCCAGATTTGGAATGTCAGATTCCAAGCCAGTATCCATGCCTTTAGCTAGCCATTTTACACTTAGTAAGACACAAAGTCCCAAGATTGAATCTGAATTCATTAAGATGGAAAAAATTCCTTATGCCAATGTGATAGGATCAATCATGTACGCCATGATTAGCACCAGACCTGGCCTATCTTATTCCATTTCACTTCTTAGTTGTTTTATGTCCAATCCAGGTATAGAACACTGGTTAGCATTGAAATGGTTAATGAAATATATTAATAGTACAATATATGTTGGGTTAGAATATAAGAAAAGAGGAAACTCACTTGATCTTATGGGATATGTAGACTCTGATTTTGCAGAAGATAAAGACACAAGGAAGTCTACCACCTCGTACTACTTCACATTGGGAGGAAATTGCATAAGCTGGAAGTCCCAGCTTTAACCCATTGTTGCCCTCTCCTCCACTGAGGCAGAATACATTGCTGTAGCAGATGTATTCAAAGAAGGATTATGGCTTAAGGGGATTTTATCTGAGGTGGAGCTGATTGATGAGAAGACAGTAGTGTTTTTGGACATTCAGAGTGCACTTCACCTAAGTAGAAATCCAGTCTACCATGAAAGGATGAAGCACATGGATGTTAGATATCATTGCGTAAGGGATTTAGTGGCTAAAGGAATCATAGACTTGAAGAAAATATAAACTGAGGACAATCCAACTGACATGGGCACAAAGGTAGTAACTGTTACAAAGTTCAAACATTGTTTGAACCTGCTGTTTATAAAATAAGCAGCAAAATAATAGAGTTGAGAAGGATTCTTGGGAGGAAGCTGCACTAGAGAGAGTTAGACTAAGCAGTTTGGTTGTGTTTGTGTTTTTGGAGCTTCAAGGTGGAGAATTTAGAATAAAGCACACAAAAACGCTGTTGTTGTACCTTTAGTGCAACACAGTCATTTTATTCTTGTTTTTTAAAAGACAGAATCTAGACCATTGAAGGACATTAATATCTGACGGCCAGGATCTATTCTACTCAAAACAGAATTGAAAAAAACAACTTCACCTTGCTACTGCGTTTTAGTCTGCTCGCTGGGGTTTATTTTTCAGTTTTGTGTATTCTGTGTAAAGAAAATCTGTTCTGTATCATTTCTTTCTTGACTGTAATCTTGGTGTGGTTGGTTGTAATCACTTGTAAGGGTTGTGTTTCCCTTGAATCTTGAGGATCTGTTTTAGAGTTCTCATAGGAAAGATTCCAGTTTGTTATGAGAGAGAGATATGCGGTTTAAGAGTGGGTTTAGGTGTAGAATTTGTTTGTATCAGGTTGTATTAATCTTTAGTGTAGCAAGCTCCTGAGTTTCTTGAGCTCAACGTGGATGTAGTTTATCCTATATAGGATAAGCGAACCACGGTAAAAATTCGTGTGTCTTTGTTCTTGTTTTCTTTACATTCTTCGTTTGTGTGTGTTGTGTGTGAAATTGGTGGATGATTTTGAGTGTTAGGAGTACAAATTAACTCTACAATAGGTAATTCAGAAAATACAAAAAGTTTAAGTGATACACTCTCCCAAGCTACATGAGATTTCACCATAAAATTTAATTGCCCAAAGATGAGTTAAGTTTCATGCTCAACTGGTATGCTACCAGCAATATTGTTCCCTGCCATCTTTTGGATGCGTAAGTTTTGACACTGTACCAGGCTAGATGAGATTTCACCATAAAATTCATTATGGCCGATATCTAAATATTTTAGATGAGGATAGACACCAAAATTTTCAGATATGTTACCAATGAATTGGTTTTGGTCCATGTTGAGTCTCTTTAGGCTTGTGCAATATTTCAAGCCTTTAGGAATTGGACCAAAAAAATTGTTGTGATGCACAGTGAATATTTGAAGTGAACCACCAACACAAATATTATGGGGTAACTAGCTAGTGAAATTGTTAGTGTCTAACTCCAATACAGTGAACATGAAATTTCCTATTTCCTGGGGAATGGTACCGGAAAGATGGTTTTTATGAAGGAATAAAAACTCTAATTTGTTCAGATTTTTAAAGGAATCAGGAATGGAACCGCTAAGTTTATTTCTGCTTAACTTTAAATCAACAAGTTTTTTAGGTTTCCTATTTCAGGGGGAATAGAGCCAGAAAGTGAATTATTGAATAAGTCAATATAAAGTAGATTTCTCAAGCCACCAAGAGACGCTGGAATTGAACCTGAAAAATTGTTGCTACGAAGACTAATATTAGTGAGAAACTCCAAATTTCCTAATTCCTGAGGGATGGAACCAGAAAGTTGGTTGCAGAAAATGTACAAGACTTCCAGGATTTTAAGGTTTCCAAGACTTGAGGGGATTGGACCAGAAAAGCTATTTGTATCGATGTAAAATTCAACCAGATTTGAGAGGTTTCCCATCTCTATAGGAATAGAACCAGAAAGTGAATTATTAAAAAGATATAACCAAGCCAATTTACTCAAATTTCCAAAAGAAGCAGGAACTGAACCGTCCAAGCCACTACTGTACAGAGCCAGTTCACTAAGAGAACTTAGTTGTCCTATTTCTTTTGGAATTGAACCATTTAACTGATTCTCAGCCAGGTGGAGGGTCTCAAGATGCATGAGGAGACCGATTTCAGCTGGTATTTTCCCAAAAAACTGATTAGTTGACAAGTCAAGATACTTCAATTTAGAGAGATTACAAATTTGTGTAGAGATAACTCCAAAGAGTTCATTAATGGCAAGATCAAGACATGCAAGATGGGGAAATGATGAGAATGACAATTCATCGAGCTTACCTTTTAAACCTACAATAAAGAGGTTCAATCTATGGATGCTTCTAGCATGGTCACAAGAAACTCCAAACCAATTAGTGTAACGGCTTATCTTGGTTCTTTGTTGATTAGAATTATTGGTAGCATTAACAGGATAAAGAGACCATGAAGAGAGGACATAATGGCTCTGGTTTTGAAGGTTGGCTTTCCATTTGAGAAGAGCTTGTGCTTCTTGAGTAGAATCAAAAGCTGGACTAAACTGAAAATGTATCAGAACAAAGATGATGAAGAAAACAGGGGAGAGTTTATTAAAGGATGAGAATGCCATTGCTTAAACTAGTTAAATTTGTGAAATGCAGAGCCTAATTCAGAAGTCACATATTTTATAAACAGAGTTTGGAACTCTCAAGTCAATCAAGGTCATTGACCTAATCAAAACTAAACGGATGCTTGCATATTGATCTACTCTATGCAACACCACAAGCGTATGCGTAAACTGGCCCGAACACCTGAGCTAACCAAAAAAAAAAAAAAAGATATAGTCTTGTATTTGTTTGGAAAGCTATGATATCAAATTTAAAATTTAGATTTTATCCAACGTAAATGTCGCCTTTTTAAGACTTGACTTAAGATTGTATATTTTATCCAGTGTGTTTTACAGTGTTGAAAATTATTTGTAGGATTGTCAGCGGCGCAATTATACAAGGATGTCTTTTTCATAAGTCTATCATTGAATTATTTATTTATTATTATTATTATTTTACAATTTATTGTTAAATTTTATTAAATTTTAAGAATAAGATTGCATGGCTAAGTAATTTAAAAGCAATGCAATTCAGTGGACTTCGATTATTCTTTCACGAGTTTGAAATTTGACAACAATAGACCTCTCCTCTGGCTTGTTCATATTTCTTAGTCACACCTAATCAAAACATTGAAACAATCAAATCTTCCACATGCCTTGAGGAGTAATTCGGTCTTGCAAAATCTTGATTTTCATCAAATGCTTGAGCTGATATGGCCCTTACCAATTACATCTCTTATATATAGCCCATACAATATATTTCCGGATTTCTCCTTTGCTACTCCAACTAGGCTTTTATAGCAACGTGCTCATCAGCATTGATTTAAGCATTCTTTGTCGCGTGAGTTGCAAATGTAAACGGTGTATGCCACATCACAGTTTGATTGCTCCAACAATTTCATCACATAAATACTAATCTTGCAACATATCATAACATAACAAAACCATTATCAATAATGTTGGGTGGCTAAGTACCATGTATATATACACTACTATAAATGTTATAGTATTTTGCTTATGCAAATTGTCCTTTTATACAATATAACAATATATTTAATTTGCATATGGTCCCTTGTCTATTTTTTTTTTTTTCAAAGGAATCATAGACTTGAAGAAAATATAAACTGAGGACAATCCAACTGACATGGGCACAAAGGTAGTAACTATTACAAAGTTCAAACATTGTTTGAACCTACTGTTTATAAAATAAGCAGCAAAATAATAGAGTTGAGAAGGATTCTTGGGAGGAAGCTGCACTAGAGAGAGTTAGACTAAGCAGTTTGGTTGTGTTTGTGTTTTTGGAGCTTCAAGGTGGAGAATTTAGAATGAAGCACACAAAAACGCTGTTGTTGTACCTTTAGTGCAACGCGGTCATTTTATTCTTGTTTTTTAAAAGACAGAATCTAGACCATTGAAGGACATTAATATCTGACGGCCAGGATCTATTCTACTCAAAACAGAATTGAAAAAAACAACTTCACCTTGCTACTGCGTTTTAGTCTGCTCGCTGGGGTTTATTTTTCAGTTTTGTGTATTCTGTGTAAAGAAAATCTGCTCTGTATCGTTTCTTTCTTGACTGTAATCTTGGTGTGGTTGGTTGTAATCACTTGTAAGGGTTGTGTTTCCCTTGAATCTTGAGGATCTGTTTTAGAGTTCTCATAGGAAAGATTCCAGTTTGTTATGAGAGAGAGATACGCGGTTTAAGAGTGGGTTTGGGTGTAGAATTTGTTTGTATCAGGTTGTATTAATCTTTAGTGTAGCAAGCTCCTGAGTTTCTTGAGCTCAACGTGGATGTAGTTTATCCTATATAGGATAAGCGAACCACGGTAAAAATTCGTGTGTCTTTGTTCTTGTTTTCTTTACATTCTTCGTTTGTGTGTGTTGTGTGTGAAATTGGTGGATGATTTTGAGTGTTAGGAGTACAAATTAACTCTACAATAGGTAATTCAGAAAATACAAAAAGTTTAAGTGATACACTCTCCCAAGCTACATGAGATTTCACCATAAAATTTAATTGCCCAAAGATGAGTTAAGTTTCATGCTCAACTGGTATGCTACCAGCAATATTGTTCCCTGCCATCTTTAGGATGCGTAAGTTTTGACACTGTACCAGGCTAGATGAGATTTCACCATAAAATTCATTATGGCCGATATCTAAATATTTTAGATGAGGATAGACACCAAAATTTTCAGATATGTTACCAATGAATTGGTTTTGGTCCATGTTGAGTCTCTTTAGGCTTGTGCAATATTTCAAGCCTTTAGGAATTGGACCAAAAAAATTGTTGTGATGCACAGTGAATATTTGAAGTGAACCACCAACACAAATATTATGGGGTAACTAACTAGTGAAATTGTTAGTGTCTAACTCCAATACAGTGAACATGAAATTTCCTATTTCCTGGGGAATGGTACCGGAAAGATGGTTTTTATGAAGGAATAAAAACTCTAATTTGTTCAGATTTTTAAAGGAATCAGGAATGGAACCGCTAAGTTTATTTCTGCTTAACTTTAAATCAACAAGTTTTTCAGGTTTCCTATTTCAGGGGGAATAGAGCCAGAAAGTGAATTATTGAATAAGTCAATATAAAGTAGATTTCTCAAGCCACCAAGAGACGCTGGAATTGAACCTGAAAAATTGTTGCTACGAAGACTAATATTAGTGAGAAACTCCAAATTTCCTAATTCCTGAGGGATGGAACCAGAAAGTTGGTTGCAGAAAATGTACAAGACTTCCAGGATTTTAAGGTTTCCAAGACTTGAGGGGATTGGACCAGAAAAGCTATTTGTATCGATGTAAAATTCAACCAGATTTGAGAGGTTTCCCATCTCTATAGGAATAGAACCAGAAAGTGAATTATTAAAAAGATATAACCAAGCCAAGTTGCTCAAATTTCCAAAAGAAGCAGAAACTGAACCGTCCAAGCCACTACTGTACAGAGCCAGTTCACTAAAAGAACTTAGTTGTCCTATTTCTTTTGGAATTGAACCATTTAACTGATTCTCAGCCAGGTGGAGGGTCTCAAGATGCATGAGGAGACCGATTTCAGCTGGTATTTTCCCAAAAAATTGATTAGTTGACAAGTCAAGATACTTCAATTTGGAGAGATTACAAATTTGTGTAGAGATAACTCCAAAGAGTTCATTAATGGCAAGATCAAGACATGCAAGATGGGGAAATGATGAGAATGACAATTCATTGAGCTTACCTTTTAAACCTGCAATAAAGAGGTTCAATCTATGGATGCTTCCAGCATGGTCACAAGAAACTCCAAACCAATTAGTGCAATGGCTTATCTTGGTTCTTTGTTGATTAGAATTATTGGTAGCATTAATAGGATAAAGAGACCATGAAGAGAGGACATAATGGCTCTGGTTTTGAAGGTTGGCTTTCCATTTGAAAAGAGCTTGTGCTTCTTGAGTAGAATCAAAAGCTGGTCTAAATTGAAAATGTATCAAAACAAAGATGATGAAGAAAACAGGGGAGAGTTTATTGAAGGATGAGAATGCCATAGCTTAAACTAGTTAAATTTGTGAAATGCAGAGCCTAATTCAGAAGTCACATATTTTATAAACAGAGTTTGGAACTCTCAAGTCAATCAAGGTCATTGACCTAATCAAAACTAAACGGATGCTTGCATATTGATCTACTCTATGCAACACCACAAGCGTATGCGTAAACTGGCCCGAACACCTGAGCTAACCAAAAAAAAAAAAAAAAGATATAGTCTTGTATTTGTTTGGAAAGCTATGATATCAAATTTAAAATTTAGATTTTATCCAACGTAAATGTCGCCTTTTTAAGACTTGACTTAAGATTGTATATTTTATCCAGTGTGTTTTACAGTGTTGAAAATTATTTGTAGGATTGTCAGCGGCGCAATTATGCAAGGATGTCTTTTTCATAAGTCTATCATTGAATTATTTATTTATTATTATTATTATTTTACAATTTATTGTTAAATTTTATTAAATTTTAAGGATAAGATTGCATGGCCAAGTAATCTAAAAGCAATGCAATTCAGTGGACTTCCTTTATTCCTTCACGACTTTGAAATTTGACAACAATAGACCTCTTCTCTGGCTTGTTCATATTTCTTAGTCACACCTAATCAAAACATTGAAACAATCAAATTTTCCATATGCCTTGAGGAGTAATTCGGTCTTGCAAAATCTTTATTTTCATCAAATGCTTGAGCTGATATGGCCCTTATCAATTACGTCTCTTATATATAGCCCATACAATATATTTCCGGATTTCTCCTTTGCTACTCCAACTAGGCTTTTATAGCAACGTGCTCATCAGCATTGATTTAAGCATTCTTTATCGTGTGAGTTGCAAATGTAAATGGTGTATGCCACATCACAGTTTGATTGCTCCAACAATTTCATCACATAAATACTAATCTTGCAACATACCATAACATAACAAAACCATTATCAATAATGTTGGGTGGCTAAGTACCATGTATATGTACACTACTATAAATGTTATAGTATTTTGCTTATGCAAATTGTCCTTTTATACAATATAACAATATATTTAATTTGCATATGGTCCCTTGTCTATTTTTTTTTTTTTCACACCTTATAATGCTTTCATCTTTCTAATGCCACACATTAATGTTTCAATAGAAATCATTGGATTAAAATTGTAATAACAAGCATAACATCAGCTTAAAGCTTTATTAGCATCATACATGAATCTTAATTACATAAAAATCAATTTTATCAAGTACATCATGTAAGATACTTCAAATATAAAACCGATACTTCTTGAAATATTAGTACAAAATCCTCTAAATGGATGCTTGCATATTGATCTACTTTATGCAACACCACAAACGTTGCCTTCATGATTAAAATCTTATAATCACTATTAAATCAATTAATATAAGGTCTTTGTCTTGTACTTAAACATCTTCAAAATGCATGTTTGAATATTGTAAAGAGATTGCTACGTTCCTCTCGGTAAATGACTGTTCTTTATGATGAAGTTTGTTTGCTTGGATATTCTAGTGTACCCACTAGCTAGTAACATTAACATTCATTTTGCGTAGTGAAAATTATTAATATAGTGTTAGAGGACTCTGTTTCGTGTCTGCAAGGATTTTTTGTTTTTTTGTTTTTTTTTAATCATATACTAAAATAAACTATTTGTATTTTTGAGACCATTCTAATGATTTACAATTTTCTGCCCTGTTATAATCAGGACTATTCCATTCTACCTTTTAACAAGAGAAAATAGGGTATTACAAAATCAAGATCTCAGGAATGAAGGAATGAAAAATCATTACCCAAACAATAATATTATACTTATAAAGAAATCTTATAAAGATTTTCATACAAAGTATATGGCAAAAAATGAATAAAAGAGTGAAACAAAAAGTCAAACTCATTAAATTTACTCTTCCATTCATTTTTTGCCATATCATTTTGTGTAAAGATCTTTGTAAAATTTCTTTATAAGTGTAGTATTAATCTTACCTAAATTACTATGACGATATTTTTGCCAAACCAAAGGAAGAAAAAGTTATCACCTCCAGATATAATACGAAAATTACCATTAACACAGAATTTTGGCAATCAGTACGTGCACACTTATCTTATATACTACAGTTTACATTTAGCATGTTGTGAAATTAAACTTTGTTTTACAATATATTAATTTTAAATGACTTTCACTAGTCCATTTTCTTTTTTCACTCATTATAACTTTCATATTTCTAATATAGAATAGAAATAATCAGATTAAAATTATAATGAATTGCATAAAATCATGAGCTTAAGGCTTTATTAGCCTCATCAATAATCTTGAGTACATAAAACTCAGTTTTATCAATTACATCAAATAAGACAATTGAAATTAGAGGTGGAATAAATGGGCCGGGTTAGGTGGGTCAACCCTAACCCGGCCCAAAATGAAGAGGGTTGAACCCGGACCTCCAACAACCCGGGTCGGGTTCAACCCAACCCAACAACAACCCCCGAGCAGGTCGGGTTACAAAATAGCAACCCGCCGACCCGCGGGTTGCTGTTTTGTCTTTTCTAAAGAAAGGACCGCCAACCCGATGGGTTGGCTGTTGTCAACCCGACGGATTGGCTGTTATACAATAACATCCAACCCACTGAGTTGACCCGCGGGTTGGCAACAGTCAACCTGCCGGGTTGACCCACAGGTTGGTCAAAAAAAAATTAAAAAAAATAAAAAATTTATTTTATTTTTTCAAATTACCCCTTTACCCTTAAAATATAGTTGTTAGAAGGGTTTTTTTCGTCATTTTCCTTTCCCATTTTTTTCTATAAATTGGCCCTAAACTCTCATATTTTTCTCACAACTCAAATTCTCTCATTCTCTCATATTCTCTAATCTCTAATCTCTCAATTATTCATTTATTCTCTTAAGTCTTAATCTCTTTGTTATCAATTTGCTCGTATTTTAATTTTTATTAGTTTTTACAATTTTTAATTCATATTTCCAATTTTCCAAATTCCAATTTTCATATTCCAATTCTCTTTCTTTAATTTTTATTTCTTCTACATCAATTTTTTTTTTCAACTACAATGGATTAATTTTTATTAGTTTTTGCAATTTTTAATTAATATTTCCAATTTTCAAAATTCCAATTTCCATATTCCAATTCTCTTTCTTTAATTTTTATTTCTTCTACATCAATTTTTTTTTTCAACTACAATGGATAGATATTTCTCTCCCATCAATTACAATGATGAAGGAAACTACTATCCTAGTCCTAGTCCCAATGATTTTACTAACATAAATGCAGGAGGAGATTCAAATAGTCTCGCTTTCCCATTCTCAGAATCCGATACATCTCAAAATATGCCCCCGATTCCAACAGCTCCCGGTGGTTCTAAAAGTCATCCTCGTAATCGTCGTGCTCGTCCAACTTCATCTCAAGCTGAGGCGGGATCATCAACTGCCGTCGAAACCGAAGACAGACACATATTAGACGTTTGGGTGTATTTCGACAAGTTTTACGAGACAAAAAATGACGTTCAAGTCAAGAAAGTGATATGCAAATACTGTGGAAATATTTATAAAGCTGATTCAGGTAATGGTGCTAGTACTTTAAAAAGGCATGTTAATAAACATATTAATCAACATAGAAATAGAGAAAGCAATCAAACTCAAATAACTAATATAGGTACTACTTGGCGTTATAATTTTGATGTATATAGGGAACAGTTAGCTTTATATATTGATGTATCTGATCAACCTATTAATATGGCTGAAGATAAATATTTGAAATATTTGTTCAAAATTCATTTTTTCCAGGATTTAAAAGTTATTCTAAAACTGCAACTAGAAATGATTTAATAAAATTGTTTAGAAAAATGAAATTAGAATTAAAAAATAAAATACATACTTGTCATGTTAGTGTGGCTCTAACTGCTGATATTTGGAGTGGTAGAGCTAAACAAGATTATATTTGTGTGACTAGTCATTATTTTGATAATGAATGTAAATTAAATAAATCTTTATTAGGATTTAGATTAATGGATGTTGATCATAGTAGTCAACAAATTTATAATAAAATTGTTGAAGTTTTAGATGATTATGATATTGTTAGTAAAGTGATAAGTTTAGCTTTAGATAATGTAAGTTTTAATAGTAAAGCTATAGATTATTTTCAAAGTAATTATCCTTTATATAACAATTTGAAGTTTTTTCACCAACGTTGTGCATACCATGTTATTAATTTAATTGTGAAAAGTGATATGAAAACAATTAAAGAAAATATTAATAGAATTAGAGATTATTTAGCTTGGATTACTAGTAGTAATAAAAGAAATGTTAAATTTCAAGACGCTTGTATAAAATCAAATATGTCTCCTAGAACTTTTGCATTAGACATGCCTATTAAATGGAATAGCACTTATTTAATGTTTGATTCATATTTACCTTATACTAATATAATTAATTATTTTGTAGTAAATAATAGAGGTCCTCATTATTTGGTAGAAAATGATTGACAAATAGCTAAAGTATTTCATTCTTTTCTTAAAATTTTTTACCAATCCATTTTACAATTTTCTGGTGTGTATTATCCTACTAGTCTATTGGTAATACATACAATTATAAAAATTTCTGAGTTATTTATAAAAAACAAAGACAATGAAATTTTAAATGCACCAATAAAGGCAATGGAAATTTTTTTGTTTTAAATATTAGGAACTCATTCCTTTTCTTTATTATTTAGGTGCTATATTTGATCCTAGAATTAAATTAGCAGGTTTAGAAAATGGTTTTGACAATTTATGTGAAAATTTACAAACCGAAGTATATGCCAATCAAATAGGAGAGGTAAAAAATACACTTTTCAAAGTATATTTCCAGTATGAAAACAGGTATGGGAACCCGCAAAGAGGCGAAACATCCAGGGAAGCTGCATCAGAAGAAACAAATGAAGACTTCTACTCTTGGGGTGCACTGAATAGGCCGAAGAGGACCCGAATCCGAAGCACAACCTCCTCTTCAGAAGCTCCACCAACAACAACAACTAATGTACTGTCTTCCATGCAGTCGCAGAGTAATGAGCTTCAACAATATTTGGCAACCCCTAAAATGTTACCAATAGATCCACAACAGAGAGCCAACATTGATCTCTTAGACTATTGGAGAGCCAGAAAATGTATTTTTCCGGTATTATCAAGACTTGCCTTGGATGTTTTCGCTGTTCCTGTCTCAACCGTCTCATCCGAACAAACATTTAGTGCAAGTGGAAGAATTTTAAATGAAAGGAGGACTAAACTTTCACAAAAAATGATTGAAGTCCTCACATGTCTTCGAGATTGGGAATGGTCGCGCCATCAAGGTCAATACGAGGTTGTCGACGATACTTTAATAGAATCATTTCAATTTTGTAATATAGATGATACGGATGAGGGAGGTCCTAGTCAACCCCAAAATTAGTTGTTTTGTAAATTGTAACTTGTAAATTAATTGTCAATTATTGCACTCTTTTTTCCTTACCAAGTTTTTGTCCCATTGGGTTTTTCTTGGTGAGGTTTTTAACGAGGCAATAATTATTGTAATTTCTTATTTTATTTTTTAATAAATGAATAAATTTAATTATTCTTATATTACAATTTTAATGTATTAAAATTGAATTAATATTTGGAATGTTAACAAAAAAAAAAAATTAATTTAATTTAATTATTGATATTTGAAAAGAAGTTAACACTTAACTAAAAACAATTACATTTATTCATTTATAAATTGTTAATTATTCATTTGAAAAGTTGATTAAACATTTAAACTTAAACAAAAAAAAAAATCAAAAAGAGGGTTAACCCGACCCAACCCGCGACCTAACCCGGTGGGTTAGGGTTGGCGGTCCGGGTTGGGCTAGCCAATTCCCCAACATTGGTGGGCCTAACCTGGCCTGCCAATGTTGGCGGGCGGGCCAGGATCGACCCGCCACTCTGCGTAACCCGGGTCAGGCCGGGTAGAGCCGAGCCAGGCCAGGCCGGGCTGGGCTGCTTGTCCACCTCTAGTTGAAATATGAAAAATGATACACAAGCTTGTGAATAGAAGTATAATTAGGTGGGGAGTTCAAACAAGTCATGATCTTCGTGAAATCTCAACTCTCTTAAGGAATAAAACCAGAAAGATTGTCATCACGGAGGCTCAAAGACTTTAAGTTGTTCAGAAAACTGAAAGAAAGAGGGATAGGACCACTGAATTGATTACTAAACAATTAAAGATACTCGAGATTTCTCAACTTACCCAGAGATGATGGAATTAGACCAGTAAGGTTGTTGCTATAAAGGCTCATATCGGTAAGAGATTCTAAATTTCCAAATTCCAGAGGAATGGAACTGGAAGTTAGTTGTTGAACATATACAACAAGGTTAGCTTTTGTAGTTTTGCAAAACTAGAAGGGATTGATCCCGTTAAATAGTTGTTACCCATGTAAAGTTCAACTAGATTAGAGAGGTTTTCGATCTCTGCAGAAATGGAACCAGAAAGTGAATTATTGAAAAGATTCAACCAAGACAAGTTGCTCAAATTTCCCAAAGAAGCAGGAATTGAACCATTGAGTTGATTTTCAGCTAATGATAATTCAACAAGGTATTCTAGGTTTCCTATTTCCGTGGGAATAGAACCAGAAAGTTTATTACTAGATAAATGAAGATAGTTGAGATTTCTCAAATGACCTAGAGACAATAGAATGGAACCTGAAAGATTGTTGTTTTGAAGGTTAATGAAAGTGAGAGATTCCAAGTTTCCTGATTCCTGAGGAATGGAGTCTGAAAGTTGGTTATCAAATATGTGTAACACAGTTAACATTCTTAGTTTTCCAAGACTAGAAGGGTTTGGACCTGTTAAATAGTTTGTAGTCATGTAAAGTTCAAGTAGATTATAAAGGTTTCCTATCTCCGAAGGAATCAAACCAGAAAGTAAATTATTAAAATATTCAACTGTGCTAAGTTCTTCAAATTTCTCAAAGATGCGGGCATTGAACCACTAAGTTGACTTTTGTTTAAGCCTAACTCAACAAGGTATTTTAGGTTTCCAAGACTTGAAGGGATTGAGCCAGTTAAGCTATTATTATTCATGTAAAGTTCAACCAGATTGGGGAGGTTTCCCATCTCTAGAGGAATGGGACCAGAAAATAACTTATTAAAAAGAGACAAAATAGACGAGTTACTTAAATTTCCTAAAGAACTGGAATTGGACCATGCAAATGGTTATTGTCGAGACCTAATTTACAAAGAGAACTTAGCTACTCTGATTCTTGAGGCATTGAACCATTCAACTGATTCTCAACCATGTAGAGGATTTCAAGATGTGTTAATTGGCAATTTCCCAAAAAACAAATTAATTGACAAGTCAAGGTACTTTAGTTTAGAGAGATTACCAATTTGCGCTGGACTAGAGCCAAAGGGTTCATTGATGGCAAAATCAAGATATGCAAGATGGGGAAATGATGAGAATGATAATTCCTCTAGCGTAACTTTTAAACCTGCAGCAGACAAGTTGAATCTATGGATTCTTCCCTCGTGGTCGCAGGAAATTCCAAACCAAGCACAAGGGCTTATTTTGGCTGTGAATTGGGTTGATTTGCTGGTGGCATTATCGGGAGAAAGAGTCCCAGAAGATAGGAGAGAATGGTTCTGGTTTTGAAGGTTGGCTTTCCATTTTAGAAGAGCTTGTACTTCTTGAGAAGAATCTAAAGCAACGTTGAGTTGAAAATGAAACGCAACAAACGGGCTTAGGGAAACAAGGGAGAGTAATTTCTTGAGGGATGAGAAATCCATTTTATGCTTAAATTTCTTGAGTTTTAAAACAGAAAATTTTATACTTAAATTTATTAGCTACTTTTTATTTAAAATTCCAATCGAATTTAAATTTAACAAAGGGGTCTATTTATAACATCACTCTCTTTTAAATCCACCTCCAACTAATCAAATTTTATTGGCCTTTTTGGGAAATCAAGATCTGATTGGACCTTCGTAGTACTCTTCTTCTTCTTCTTTATCTATAATAGAACAAAAATCAAACACTCTATAGGAGGGATAACAAAGAAGTCACCTGCAATAATTCAACAGCAATAAACTTGTACTCCATTTCCTTTCTCTCAAGTTGAGGCAAACTAAAATTCTTTAAGAACAACTCCACGTCCTACAAACAATATGAATACAAGATTCAGTCATATTAATTATTAAAACCGAAGACAGTATCATAACTAGGCCCTTTAAAAATGCAAAATGAATGACTAAGCGTAGACTTTAACAAATCCATGTAACTTAATTCACAATTGTGTTTTTGGCGGCGGCTGTTACATCTAAAAAAAATTAATCTTATTTAATAATAACCGACTTCTACTTAGTATTAACATCTAATAATTAATATCATACCCTGCTATGGAGCTATACTGATATGAAAAAAGTTATACTATAACGCACCCACCTTTGATATAAACTCTTTATCCCAATATGTATACTCTAAACCTTCCAGTTTTCCTATTTTAGACATCTCGTCAATAAACTGCTTCACTTGTTCACTCTAGCCAAGTAAAAACAGTTTAATGAGATTAGACACTAAAGGAAAGATTACAATAACAGCTCATGTGATGAAAACTCACATCAGGAGTGTTTCGCCACTGTCTATTGAAAGGATAGCCAACAACGAAACCTTTCAAATCAAATTCCAAGATCTGCATAAATAAAGATTATAAGCTGACTTGATAAGTTATCTATCATGATCCAACTTACAGGTTCATCGATATAAACACCATAAACACAAGATTCACCTCAACAGATCCTAATTTAATAATTCAATGCACAATCATAATTCATAACCCTGCAAATTCGATTCCAAGGGTATCATTCAAAAAATTTGATACAAAACCCAAACAACGATCTTCACTAAATACTATACTAAAATAATTGGTTAAAAAAAAAAAAAAAAAAAAAAGTAAGATAAAGTGAGGGAGAAACTTTACCAGGCATTGAAAATCACCAACCATCAAATCAATATCTCCTCTCTTCCTAACTAGAACACTGCAATGTTGACAAATAACCTAAATCATAAAGTCATAAACATAAACATAGAATCAACAAGAATATAAAACAAAAGTAACAATTTCTACATATTAACACCCACAAAAACAAAAATTAAATTACACCACTAAATACCTTAAAGGTGATGCAATCTTATCATTCGTGTTTGAAACAGCCAACCCAACGTATTTATCACCCACATTCAACCCAAGCAATCGACCTCGTTTTGAAATGTTTCCCTTGAGGATATTATGGAACAAATTCAAATTTTTCACATACTTCATCTAAGATTTAACACATCAATTAAGCATTTTAAGCAGATAAACATAAACAATGTTATATATTTCAAATTTCATAAACTCTAACAAACATAAATCATAAGAAAACAAACTATTTTGAATTTTTATAAACTTTATCAAACAGTAAACATAAGAATGTACATGCAAACTGGAGTTGGAGTTACAGCTGGAGCTAAGAGTTGTATAAATGTTTCTTTTTCCAATGTGACATTTCCACAAAAAAGTTAATAGATAAAAACGTAGCAAAACATTTAGTTATCTATTATGGTGGGAAGCATAAACACAAAATCAATCACACTCTCACAAGATCAAAAGAAAACAAATGGGCAGCACTATATTAATAGTTGATAGGGAGGAGTTTCTTTAATTTTTGAAAGAACTAAAGAGCGATTTGGAATCAAATAAATCAATTACATGCAAATATCAAACTAGTAAAGAGAAAGAAAACACATGCGAATTATCCTGGGTCACCCAAAACTGGGCTACGTCTAGTAGAGCCAATATTATTGCTAATATTACCTCACCTCTCTGGTCATAATAGATGTATTTTGCTATGATTTTCTATATCTCTCATACAAGATAATAATGTCTTGATATACTAGGTTTTAATGTGAAAAACAAAATAATACCAGGATTCCTATTCTTAAGGCAAACCGTATTAGGAATTTTATTTCTTAAAGGAATCCTACAACAGCTATATATGATAAAAGCCCAAACCGCTTACGGGATCGAGGCATTAATGAGCTATGAAATTAGTTTAAATAAAATCGAATTTGCGTAATTTATGAAGGCGGATATGTTAATTAATTAATTACTAACCGCTACAATTTACCAAATATAGATATTTATACCAATGTTTTATCAGCTAAGTGGCCGCGTCCCAAGTTGATCGGTTAAACCGGTTCGACCGGTAAGTCAGACCGATGATGTCATCATGCTAACGTCAGCCTGATGACATCATCCAACATAACAATTTGACCAAAAAAAATAATCCACAAAATAAAAAATACACTATAACAAATACAGTACATCTAAACTGCAAACTGCAAGCTCAAAAGCTAGACCTCTTTTTTCTCATTTAAATACAGCACAATTTCATCAAAGATCCTCAGGCTATCACTAACTCTCCACAGCGCTTCAACTCTGCATAAAATAGCTTAGAACACCATCCCTCCACAAAACACCCAAACATATTCCATAATTATAGTATCAATATACACTACATTAATACTCTGTACTAAACTAACATTTCTTCCATCTTTCACTAATTAAAACCGATGTACATAAGTTCATAAACTATGCAGGATTTTGACTGAATAAGAGATAGATGCAATGCTTAACTTTAATACCACTGACGCTGTCTATATGCAGTAATTTAAATTTTGGATTTGCATACTTCATGGATGCATGAACAACATTTTTTTTTTTTTTTTGGTAAGTATGCATGAACAACATTCTATATTTTGAATGTTAAAATATACCCTCAACTAATAGAACATAATAACACATAGTGCTTATGTGAAAAAGGAGAAAGAAAAAAAGTATTAGAAGAAATTAAATCATAGTTCAAGGAAATCTAGTAGCCTTCAACAAAAATGTAACTTCTAATGTGATAGATAATAAATAAATAAATAAAAGTTGGGAAGTTTGCCTGCAGTTTGCAAACTGCAGTAGCAAACTTGAATTGCTATTACTTCAACAGGTGTCCACATGACATGAATACAACCTTCAAAATGAAACTAATATTTCATATACATAATGCAACCCTAAAATTGCAATGCTATTAGCCTATTACTTCAACAGGATTAGGTGTCCACGTGAATACAGAAAAATTGCATCATTCTACAAAGACAGAATACATTTTTTATTTCTATAAACTTGTTCATTGAAAATGATTTCAAACTTAATCAAAAATGACTTCAGAGATAACCCATTAACTAACCAAAAACTTAATGCAAATCCCAGAACTATTCAAACATCAAGTCTTTGTTTTTGTGACAATTACACAGCGAGTCATATTCAAGAATTAATGTCCCAACTCCCAAGCAATAGATAAAAAGGAAAATCAGAAAACATACTAAGTGTGAAAGGATAAGCAATTCAATTTCAGATACAAAAAGATCTTGCCCTACAACAGATGCATACAAGCAAGAGGCCTTCCCATTCAAATATCCCATCAGAGCTCCAATTAGAGCAGTAAAATTGTCATTTCCGTGGCTAAAAAGAAGAGAAGACAGAGAACTAAAATGTATTAAAGATAGAGTTTCAACTAAGAAACAAACCCTAAACAAGAAACTTACTGAAAATTTGAGGCATTGATTAATTACGAGTTATTATATCATGTTTATGAGAAAAAATTATTGAAAAGTGTTTGTGAATGTAATATTACCCTTTTTTAGTGACTCTGTTTGATTCTAACCGGTTAGACCAATGGTCTAATACTATACATCCGATCCAATCTCGGTTGATCTGAGCCAATTAATAGTTCGGTTTTTTAGCTGTTCTCGACCAGATTTGGCCCGATTCTTGGTCTAATTGGTTGAATCAACCTGTCCTAGCTGAGTTTTAAAACAGAGAATTTTATACTGAAATTTATTAGCTACTTTTTATTGAAAGTTCCAATCGAATTTAAATTAAACAAAGGGATGTATTTATAGCATCACTCTCTTTTGAATCTACCTCCAACTAATAAAATTTTATTGGCCTTTTTGGGAAAGATCTGATTGGACCTTAGTAGTACTCCATTTTATGTACAACCCAGAATCCAAATCTCATTGGGCCTGACCTCAATGAGCCTCATTCAAGACAAGTAATTTTCAGTTCCCATTAAATAATTTTCTTTTTTGTTTTCGACAATTTCGATCCTCACAATTAACTAGACATGGTTCAAGCCAAAATGTTGCATACTCTAAGCTATTTTAATGTAGAAATATAAATAATTGCTTTAGCATAAGTTTTTCTTACTCCATTATATACTTATATATCACCCATTGTATTTATAAAGCTATAAGCTTATGATTCTGTTCTCTTAATATTATTATATGTTACTAGAGAAGTTGTCTTACTAATAAAACAACAAATCTCACATTTTCTTACTATTTTCATATAAGCCAAACAACAGCAGCAGGAAAACAAAACCGAGGGTGATATTGTAAATTTGAAATCAAATGAAAGTCAACCATGAAGACTCTTGCAAAAAACATAGAAAACAAAACAAAAACCACAAATTTTCTTTCTATTTTCCCGGTATCCAAATAGAAAGGGTTGTATATTATACTTTTTTAGAGTGTTGAAAAAATCGTAATTGAATTGATTTTGTGGGGTGTTACCGTGCCTTTTTGAAGGATGATATCTCTTCAACTGGGAAAATGTTGAGGAAAAAGAAATTGGATTGATAAATATAAGTTTCTTTTACGTTAAAACATAGATCCCGATGTACGATATAGTAACAAAAATCTATCTACTACTCTTGAACTGTTAGTAAGCTATTAAAATTTATACGCTTATAAGTTAATAAATATTACCAAATTTCCCCTTTATTGTTTATTTTAATACCAAAATTTAACAATAAAGAGATTTTTGTTATTTTTGAAACGCCCTACTACTCTTGAATTGTTAATAAGTTATTAAAATTTATACTCTTATAAGTTAATAAATTTAACAAATTTCCCTTTCATTGTTTATTTTTAATACCAAAATTCAAATTTGCAAGCTCGTCAAACTCAAGCTTAACATTGTAGCAAACGAGTCAAGCTCAATTAGCTCAAAACTTAGCTCCTAATCCATATATATTAAATATACCACTAGATTAGTGGGCCAGTGGCCATTGGATCTTAACTCTGAAGTAAATTGTGAACCTTTTTTTTTTTTTTTTTTTTGTTTTTTTAACTAAGAGGATTTGTGATTAATATAAAACCTAATTTATTGATTTATTAGTATAAAATAATGATGAAAAAATTATCACAATTTCAATATAAATACAGTACATTATACGTAAATGCATATAATAAGATTTGAATAATGTCAAATACTTATTTATTACTGTCAAAAGTATTTATAATAAATGTCATTTGGTATATTCTTTAAGAGCAATACTACACATACATCATTTTTATACAACATTTTCCATACAATATTATGTGATAAGATATGGTTGGCTAATTTAAAATTAAAATTAAACTTTCACCCAATTACATTTTGCCATATAATGTTATATGAGAAATGTTGTATGGAAATGATGTATATGTAGTATTATTTATTCTTTAATTTAAATAACTACAGTACATTATATGTAAATGCATATAATAAGATTTGAATAATGTCAAATACTTATTTATTACTGTCAAAAGTATTTCTAATAAATGTCATTTGGTATATTCTTTGATATAAATAACTTAATAAAAAATGGGGTCACAAAGTAATGTTGTTTTCTTGTTCCTCATCAAGACTTAATGAAATCATTTCCAATGAAACTAAACACCATGGTTCCAACAAAAACTAAAGGCCATGATTTCGTAACTCCAGCCAATGCCCATTTCACCTATGTGGCTACAACCAGTTCTAGCAATTGACCCTCAGAATGATGCAAAACATTACAACAATCAACCAAAAGTCATTAAATCTAGCTTAGCACTGGCATAACAAAGAACCCTGTAGAGTTCATTTGCTCCCAAAAGTTGAGCCACCAGACTGAACAAAAAGCCACAACTTCTCTACTTCCTAATATCGAAGGCCTTTTCCTAGTTTTAAATCAAATTCACCAAACAAGATCTTAGCTTTAGCTAACTTGCACCATTCCCACATCCCAAATCCGCCAGATCAACAGTCTCAAGCCTCTCCTCTTCCGGCAAAACCAACCAATTGGGACTTTGAAAAACTCTCAACCACATGAAATCATCCACATTGCCCCAATTCCCTGTCTCCTTGCTCAACGCGGCAGCTTCCGAATCCTTGTCAATCCCTTCATATTTCAAACAATACGGCCCAAATCTGACCCCATTACAATCCTCAATGATCGGTCTGCTCCTAACTCTCAAATAAAAGTCAGTACAACTTTTCGCAAAAATGAATCCTAATTCAATGCGAAGCCAAAATCAACACACAGTCCTCAACTTCTTCAATCAAAATCGAGCCCGTCACAGGACCCGCGTAAACTCTACAACCCTTTAATTTATTAACAAAAAGAGCGTTCACACAACCCACTAATCTCACCTCACACGAGTCCAAACCCGCTAACGTAAACTCTCCAATTTCGGAACCCTTAAAGCCTCGGAACAATACTTCGTTTTGTTTATCTCGATAACCCGGGGATTCACAAACAGGGAAATTTGACTTTGGTTTTGCTTCATTTGGTGCTGAAACGACACCATTTTGTGGGATCTGGGTTTGGGTTTTGGTGGGTTCGTTTCTGAAGGCGAATTTCTTTCTGGAGATCAACTGTGCTGCTAAGTTCTCGAGATTTTGTTTCAAATCCGAGATGGTTTTGAGAGATGGTCGGACTTCGTAGGAGGGGAGGGAGTAGCGTTAGAAAATAGAAGCTGAACAAAGAGTACAGATGAAACTTGAGGAAATCAACTTAACTTCATTGAATCATAAACTTGGCTACTATATAGCCTTACTGAGCAAATAGAAATAACCGAACAAACGTGAAAATAGCCCACGTCTAAACAACTCCTGCAAGGTGCTGAGAAGACCAAATCACCAAATAACAGAACCCAAAAGAAAAGGTATTTACAGACATAGTGGTAACTAACCACTAAACCAATAAAATAAACATAAAAACTAACATTTCCTCCCTTAAACTGAACACTACAAGCTTCAGTTTACATCAGTTTGAGTAAACTCTCAATTGTCCTCGCAGCTTGACAAAAAGTATTTAACTTGAGTGGCTTAGTCATTACATCAGCTAATTGTTCTTGTGAATTGCAATATACTAATTCCACGGTACCATTCTTAGTAAGGTCTCGAAGAAAATGAAAACGCACATCTATGTGCTTACTTCCACCATGCATTACTAGATTCTTCAAAAGTTATTGCAGAGCTACTGTCACATTGAATAACACATGACTTGCTTTGATTTTGATCTAGCTTTCCCAACACCCTTTTCAACCATACTGCCTAACATGCACATGAAGTTGCTACAATGAATTTTGCCTTTGCGGTAGATAAACTCACTACCGGTTGCTTTTTTGATGACTAAGAAATTGCCCTTAAGCTTAATAAAAAAACAAAACCTGAAGTGCTCTTTCGATCTTCCAAATCTCCAACATAATCATTGCTAGTGTAAGCAACAAGTTCATCATCTCCTCCCTTCCTATAGAAAATCCCAAAATCAATTGTTCCTTTTAGATACCCTAGCACCCTTTTTGCTACCTGTAAATGTAGCTCAGTAAGATTCTCCATAAACCTACTAATGATACTTATTACAAACATTAAATCTGCTCAAGTAGCTGTGAGGTACATGGGACTCCCTACTACTTGTTTGTGGTAAGTCTTATCTACCTTAACTCCCCCTTCATCTTTCACAAGCTTCCAACCAGGAACAATACGATTAAAAGCAGAGTTACTTTTGTCCATTCCAAATCTGTTGAGTACCTCTAAAGCATACTTTTTCTGACTTATGAAAATACCATCAGATTTTTGCAAGACTTCAAGACCAAGAAAATATCTCATCTTACCAAGATTAGTCATATCAAACTCATGCTTAATGAAATGTTTAAACTCAGCAAACATTAATTCATTATTGCCAATAAAGATTAGATCATCAACATATAAACTAACGATCAAAACTTTACCTTCCTTGTTAGTTTTGATGAACAAGGTATGCTCATAGTCACATTTTTCAAAGACTTCCTTCATGAAATATGCTTCTATACGACTGTACCAAGCACAAGGTGCTTGCTTGAGCCCATAGAGTCCTTCTTTAACTTATAAACCTTTTGCTCATTTCCTTTTTGCACATAACCACAAGGTTGCTCGACAAAGACTTCTTCATTCAACTCACCATGTAAGAATACATATTTCACATCTCACTGATAAATGGACCACCTTTTTTGAGCTGCAAGTGCAACTACCAACCGAATTGTTTCCATACGTGTCACAGGTGCAAAAACCTCAGTATAATCTACCCCATACTGTTGTGTGTAACCCTTTGCCACAAGCCAAGCTTTGTGCTTTTCTACTTCTCCATTTTCATTAAACTTAGTCTTGTAAACCCACTTTACTCCAATTGTTTTTCCTCCCTTAGGTAATTCTGTCATTCCCATGTGCCATTCTTTATCCTTCCATTTCTACATCCATAGCTATTCTCCATTTCTCACTTTTAACAGCTTCTTCAAAATAAATTGGATTGGCAACTGCAAACATAGCAAGTTGGACTTCATGCTCTTCCTCAGAAAAACCTTCTCCTGTCTCATAATTGTTCATCCAAACTAGTGGTCTTCTATTTCTTGCTACATTTGAATTGGAAGGGTTGCCTCTGTTTTGAATTAACGAATCAGATGCAGTGACTGCGACATCAGATTTAGTGATTGCAACAATAGCATTATTTTCTTCTGTGTCTTCTTCTATATCATCATCAAAATTAGAGTCACTTTCTTCTTCATTCACAATAGCTTATTTCCCATCATCACCCCATTCCAAATCACACATGATGACTTCTTCATACTTCCTATCCCAATCCCAATTCTTGTCTTCTTCAAATACAACATCCTACCGATTATGATCTTTTGAGAAATTGGGTCATAGAGTCTGTAAGCCTTTGATTCTTCACTAACTCCCAGCAATACACAACGAAAACTCTTTTCATCAAGCTTTGTTCTTTTACTGTCATGCACATGAACATGTGAAATGCATCCAAAAACTCTAAAATAGTCAACTGAAGGTTTGAGCTTACCCCAAGCTTCTTCTGGAGTTTTGTTTTGTACTGCAAATGTTGGATTTCGATTTAAAACATGCACCGTCCAATTTATAGCTTTAGGCCAGAAGGTTTTGGGAAGTTTTTTCTCCGATAGCATACTATGAACCATATTCATAATGGTTCTATTCTTGCGTTCCACAACTCCATTCTGTTGTGGCATATATGCAGCTATTAACTGTCGTCGTATGCCATGAACATCACAAAAATTTGCAAATTCTGGGGATGTGAACTCGCCTCCTCGATCAGTACGCAAACTTCTAAGAAATGAACTTGTTTCCTTCTCAACATGAACCTTAAAACTCTTGAAAACAGCAAGAGCTTCTGATTTTTCTACCAAAAAATAAACCCATGTTTTTCTACTAAAATCATTAGTGAAAGTGAGCAAGAACCTTTTCTTGCTGTTTGAGATTGGATTGATCGGTCCACAAATGTCTGCATGCACTAACTAGAGAATTTCAGCAGCTCGCCAGTTACTTTTCTTTGGAATTGAAGACCTGTGTTGTTTTCCCACCAAACAATCTTTACACAGTTTAGAGGGAGGCTAAAATTGTGGTAATCCATTCACCATCTTCCTTTGTTGAAGAGTCTTCAAAACTTGAAAACTCAAGTGGCCATATCGACAATGCCAAAGCTACAAAATGTCTTCTATGACCGTGTTAAAACAAGTACATGAAATGGGCTGGGATAGAGCATGAACACAAACATCCGATTTGAAGACATTTTGGTTTCCATAATCAAACATTTCTGTGAATGAAACACCTTACACTTTCCATGTTGAAACAAAATGGTAAGCCATTTTTCTTGCAATTGTCCAATACTCAGCAAATTATTCTTCAACTCGACATAAAAGACTCCTGTGATGATCTGTGTCATTTCATTCACTTTCAACCTTACATTCCCCTTTCCTAATACAAACATGCTTGTGTTGTTCCCAAGCTTCACTGAATCTCGAAAGGTTCCATCAAAATCTGAGAAATAATCTTATTTTTCGCACATATGATTGCTGCATCTAAATTCCAGAAACCACGTATCTTCTTGATTGATTTTGTTTAGATCCACATACACCATCAACAACATCTCCTCTTGATTCTCTGCATAGTTTGCCTCTGTCTCTCAACTTGGACATTCCCATGCAAAATGTCCTAGCTTGTGACAATTATAGCAGTCCATTGGGGCCTTATCAAAAGATCTCCTGTTGCGCCCTCTTCCTCTTCCTCTATAATTTGCACAACCATGACCTCTGCTTCCAGAGTGATCTCCATGCGTAACTTTCAAAGCTTGTTCTTCTTCTAACACATGAGAGTTCATGCGTTGTTCATGAACAATAAGACTACTCTGTAGCTCATCTATGGTTGAAGTGTCTAAATCTTTAGACTCTTCAATGGAACAAACAACATAATCAAATTTGGAAGTCATAGACCGTAAAATCTTTTCAACAACAGCAGTATTTCCTTTATCCTCAACATTGACTTTCATTTTTTTGGCAATGGCAAGAGTGCGAGAGAAATATTCGTTCACAGTTTCTCCCGGCTTTATGTGAAGAATTTCGAATTCTTTGCTTAAAACTTGCAAATTTCCACGCTTCACTCATGTGGTACCCTGATATTTCTGCTTCATAGAATCCTAGATATCCTTCGCATTCTTTTTGTTTAGAATTGTCTCTAGGATAGAATGATCTAATGCTTGAAATAAATAGTTCTTTGCCTTCAAATCCTTTAACTTCTGATCTGCAATGTGCTTCCTCTGTGCATCTGTGAGAATAGCACCTTCAGCCACTGTAGGAACTCCATTCTCCACAAGTCCCCTATACTCCTTTGAATGGAAGAAGTTTTCCCTGAGCATTGCCCAGTGATCATAGTAGCCATCAAACTTTGGAACAGCTGGCTGGACAAATGAACTATCTATCGTCATCGTTCAAGTAAAACACACGTAGAAGACTGCTGCTTCTAAATAATCAGGCCCCTGTGAGGGGCTTTGATACCAAATGTTAGAAAATAGAAGCTAAACAAAGAGTATAGATGAAACTTGAGGAAATCAACTTAACTTCATTGAATAATAAACTTGGCTATTATATAGCCTTACAGAGAAAATAGAAATAACTGAACAAACATGAAAATAGCCCACGTCTAAACAACTCCTACAACGTGCTGAGAAGACCAAATCAGCAAATAACAGAACTCAAAAGAAAAGGTATTTATAGATGTAGTGGTAACTAACCACTAAACCAATAAAATAAACATAAAAACTAACAAGTAGCAGTTCTCGGCGACGAGTTTCTCGAAGGCAGAGATATCTGGGAGGCGAGAGGGTTGGTGGTGGTTTGGAGCTGAGAAGTGATGGAGTTTTTGGAGTTGTTGAAGCGGGAGAGGAAGGCGGAGGTGGATGAGTTAGGTAAGTCGACTTTGCGGGTTTCTAAACAAGTTTGGTGACGATTTGATAGACGCTCCAGCATCAACTGGTGTTTCTTTTGTAAACTTTGATCTGGAATTTGGTTGGTTTTTTACTAAAGATTTTGATCAATTTTGTGTGGAAAATTTGAGTTCATTTTCAATATTAATTTGACTAATTTTTTATTAGTTAAAGGTTTATTCTAAATTTTTTGTTTTATATATGTATGTGATAGAGTTGGAATTTAATTTAATTATGAGTTTCATACATATTGTTCTAGGTTTCAGGAATTATTTATAGGTTTCAAGTTTAATGTTTAAAAAAAAAATGGTATCAACTCCTTTAAATTTCAAGTTAGTATATGTTATTGGTTTCACATTTACATTATAGGTTTCATATATATTATGCCAGTTGTCAAGTACTATTCATAGTTTTTATTTTTCAAATTCACATCGGTAGTTTGGTGAAATATCTGCACTCACCCATAATTTGCGGTAACAACAATATGGTACCCAAAAAGTTTGAAAATGACAATTAACCACATTAGTAAAATTTGTTTAAAGAAGGACAATATGGTAATTTTATATCTAATAAAAAAATAATCCTCAATTTTAAATTAATCCATGTCCCCCTAAATTTTTATCTTACTTTTTGTTCTCTTCTCTCTTTGGATCTCATCTCTTCTACGCCCTTACGCCCTCTTCTCTCTCTTATCTTTCTTCTTCTTCTCTCCCTTCTCTTTCTTTCATTTCTTCTCCCTCTTTTCCCTCCTCCCCTTCTCTTTCTTTTCTTTCTTCTCCCTCTTTTCCCTCCAAACCACTAGGCAAGAACCCAACACCGGAATATGGACTGAGAGGGTGAGGGCTGACAGAAACCGCGTCAGTGCAACGGGAGGGGGCTGGCAGGGTGAGGGTTGCAGTTGGGTGCCGGAAAAGTGGTGCAAACCACCAGCGGCGGTGCCCACTGCAGCCAGTTGAGAGAAAATTCTCTCCAAAAGGTTTTTCCTCTTCCATTTTTTAATTTTTTTCAAATTTCTATAATTTTTTATTGTTTGGGTTGGTAGTGTTTGAAATTTGTGGTGGTTTGTGGCAGCGGTGATGGCTGTATTTGGTGGTTTTGCTGGAGAGTTTGGAGCTGGTAGAGGTCCAGGCACTGGAATCGCACCCAGCCGAGACAAGAACAATTTCATTTTTCTTTTTCATAGGTTTTAGCAATGGGTTTTATGGGTTTGATTTTTGATTTTTTTTCCTTCTCTTGTGCTTATTATGACTATGATTGTTTAGTTGAGATGTAAAATGAATTTGATTATGGAGTTGAGATGGAGGATGAATTTTGAATGTGGTGTTAAGATGGGGGATGAATTTCAATTGTGTTTAAATTTATGGGAGGTGATTTTTTCTGGCGATTCTTGATGAATTTGGGTTGGAGTTTGAATTAATGGGAGTTGAAAGTTTCTACAAATCTTGGTTGAATGAAAGGATACCGTAGTCATTCACTCTTATAATTCTTTAAAAGAGTTGCGATTTCCATTTACCAAACTTCTCCTTCATCTGCAAATGTCACTTCATCTCCTTAAGATGCAAATTTGTGTACAATCATTTTTGTAAAGATTTTTGTGAAATCTGTTTTGGAAGACTTCTTAAAATTTTGTTGTTATAAAGATTAAGTTTAACTTTTTTATTAATTGAAGTTGTTTAATGTAATGGTGGTTTTATGGATTAATTTAAAATTATAGATGAATATTAAAAATTATTTTTTGGTTGGATATAAAATTATCATATTGTCCTTATTTAAATGAATTTGATTTGAAGGAAAAGTGGGTAATTATCATTTTTAAACTTTTTGGGTATCAAATTATCTTTACTATGACTGGTGCATGTCGTTGGGACTAATAGTTTCAAGTATAGGCTTATCAATTTCAAATACAACATCATTAAGGGTCAAGTCCTTTGTAATTTCAAATATTATGTTATAGGTTTCAAGTGCATTATTTAGGGTATTATTTATAGGTTGAAGGTTTTTAATAAATTAATAATTTTATCTTTAAAGTTATATTTTTGAAAATCAATATGTGTTTTGATAATATAATTTTTTTTAATTTACGTTGTGTGTGTATATATATATATATATGAATGGACTATAATTTATGATTTTGAAATATATAAATAATTTTATTAAGTTCAAGTGTGTTTATTTTATTATTCCTATTTTATCTTATTCAAAATACATGTTTGTTTCACTATTCACAAAATCTAATCTTATTCTATTTAATTTAAAATATTTAATTTTTTTTAACCTTTTAGGTTTGTTAATTTAACTAAATACCCCGAACAACAAAAGTTTATAAATTAACAAAAAAACCTTCATCCATCCACATATTATCGATAGCCGGTGGCTGGTTATCAGCATTTAATGAGTGGGTGAGGGTATTTTTGTTAATTTAACTAAATACCTTCAAAAACAAAAGTTTATAAATTGACAAAAACACCTTCATCCATCCACATATTCCCGATAATCGATGGCTGGTTATCGACATTTAATGGATGAGTATGAGTGTTTTTGTTAATTTTAAACTTTTATTGTATGAGGTATTTAACTAAATTAACAAATATAAAATTTAAAGATAATCTTATCAAATACATTTTTAAATTCAAAATCCATTCTCAAAATAATAACTCAACTCGAAATTTTTAAAAATACTAATTAAAATAATAAAACAAACATCCGAGAGTATTTTGTAAAAAATTATCACCATCATATTCTCTTGCCTTTCTAAAGGCCGAATTCTCGGTTTTCTAAACGAGTTGGGTTAATCGATTTTGCGGGTTTCCAAAAGAGTTTGGTAACCAGTCTCTTTATGTGGGGCCGAATTCTCGCTTTTCCCAAAGCGGAATTACTGTACCCGCCCAATCTTTTTATGATTTACGTCTTTCTTTGCAAAATATATAAACTTTTAAGCAAAATTAAAACTCAATAAACCCTAATCTTAGGTCAATCATTTCAATTTTTTTAAAAAAAAAAAAAGCCTAAACACATATTAAAATGTAAAAATTTAAACACGTGAATAGGTTTAAGTCGTCGTTGCTCGCCATGATAAAGTAGATCTAGAGATTTGAGTTTTTTATTTTTATTTTTGATGTTAAGTTCTCTTGTATTTTATATTCTGATATATTTGGTTTTGATTTTATTTTTATTATCAGTTGATGAGTTTAGAGATGTTGAATGATGGAAAGATTTGAGTTTGTGTATTGTGGAGTGAATGAAAAAGGTGAAGAAGAGGATGTTAGTTAATGAAATTTGAGAGATAGAATTTTATTTTGCTAATTTTATTTATTATGAGTTAAAAAGTAACAATCATTAAAATAAAGGCTTTTAAGGGTAAAAAGAAGTAATTAAAAGGTCAGAGCTGGTCAAAGAAAAGTTTCCCTTGAACCAGGGTGGAAAGCTGATGGTTTTTGAAACTGGGATACTAGATTGTTCTTCCACCAAACCTAAGCCGCGCGTATAAACTCGTTAGTGGTGGTTCCATCATCCATGGTGGGGGTGAGAGGGAAAGGAAAAAAGGAAAACAGGTGGAGACGGGGAGGAGAGAATGGAGAAAAGTAATGGAAGGGTGGAGAAGACTATTTTGAATTTAATGTTGGTTGGACGAAGTTAGGATTTTAGGGGTTAGTTGATTTATTTCTGGAATGTTGAGGGTAGCTTGACTAAAATTGCAATAATTGCCCGAAAATCTTCAATTTCCCAAACTTTAGGGGGTAAGATTTTTATTCGGTGCATAAATAACTCATTTCCGCACATAAATTCTTCTCACATCCGCACAGAAGACATCTCGTGTCCGCACACAAGACTTCTCACGTCCGGTAGTTGACTTGGTTGCTGCGTTATGAAGTATTTTATCCCTTCAGTTGACTTAAAACAGATCACTTGGTTCATCGTTTTGATCTTTACTGATCTTTCTTCAGTGTGACGGACGGTCTGGACAAGATGACTGAAAGTGCTCTCTGCCTATATTCACCGGATATGTTGGTGTCAGCATACAAGAAGCGATTAGGGTAATAAGATCTCCCCCCTTTGTAAGAATTATCACGCAGAAATGCTAGAATGAGTCTGTAGAACTAGTTTTATTTTCCTTACTTTTGTGTTGTATTTATATCAAAGCATTTTTGAATGATTCGTACGCAAGGTATTTATGGTCCTTTTCATAAAGAATATAGATCACAGATCTAAACAAACAATTGCTTCTTAAGCAGAAAATGGGATTACCACTCGACCATCCAAGGAGGAGGGTTTGGGGAATCGATGGTAACATCATCCTTATGTTCGCCAAAAGAACATCTATCTGGCTGGGATATTCTTCCGATGCTCAATCATGGCGCAGCCAACACCAACAATTTCAGGTGTGTTATTTTCTATCTTTATCATGGTTAATTAGCTTTAAAATTCTGGGATTTAAAAAAATATATTTTTACGAACTAGGAATTCCAAAGCTACGCGTACCTCTTTCAATCTTTCTCCGCCGTATTTTCACGTATTAGTAAATTAAATTTGGGACCCAAAAAAGGAGTCCTAATGGGCTTGTGTATCTGAGCCATCAAAGCTATATTTATTTTCTCTTTCTTTCCTTTCTTTTTCTTTGCTGGATTAATAGACAATTATTTTGTTGTGTTAGTTTTATTGCTTTGCGTGGCTATGATAGAATAGAAATTTGTCTATCAATGTATATAATTGATGAGAACAACTAACAGGAACATAGTAGCTCCGAAGTTTCTCCTAATTGATATAGCAAAGAGCTTATAATCTACTATATCAGTGAATGAACTTGTTATACCCTTTAGCAAAGAGATTAAGGAATTTGTTATTTGTTATGATAATGAACTCTAGAATTAAGAACCCTATTATTTCTTAGAACAAGAACTTTAGTACGTGAGCTTTCTCTGTTCTTAGAACAGAGAACATTAGAATGAGACCCTAAATGCCCATTTGTAGAATTTGCAGACCTGCACCTTCTCCTCCTTGAACCAGAACTAAACACCATGGAAATCAGAATCGCCAGCACCATCACCTAATCAATCTGTATTCAAGAGTCTGTCTGTAGCTTGTTACAGATGGATATACAGAAATTAGGAGTATTCAAGAAAGACTGGCTTTACATATGCAAGAGTTAGGAGTATCACATCCAGTAATCTGTTCTGTAGAAATCCTAAGCCTCTATGTTTTAATTCAGACAAAATAAATTTCAAAGAGAAGTTTACATCCTTTGCATAATACATGAAACATTCATGAATTATGAAATCTCTAAATAAAATTGTTGAGAAAAGTACTTTTTTAAAATTAATTCTTAATAGGAACCCCATGATGGGCCTGTGTATCTGAGCCATCAAAGCTATGTTTATTTGCTCTTTCTTTGCCTTTTTTTCCTTTCTTTTTCTTTCGTGGATTAATGGACAATTATTCTGTTGTGTTAGTTTTATGGCTTTGCTTGGCTATGATCATAACAATTATCATGTCTTCTTGGAACAGTGTTCAAATACACGCCGGAGTATAATGTTCTGGAAGTTACCCAACTCGCATTCATGAATTACCTAACTACAAACCCAGTCAGTGAATATAACAGTGGTCCTACCATGATCAAGCTTAGTGAACCAGGAACACGATTCTTCATCTCTGGTGGACCTGAGAGCTGCTTAATTAAGCTCTCCATTGATGTGTTCTCTCTCCCAGGCTAGGCTCGCCAGTGACAAGACCAGGAACACGATTCTTCATCTCTGGTGGAGACGGCAGCAGGGCTGATGGAGTCGTCGAAGCGGGAGAGGAAAGTAAATGTTGATCATTGATGTGTCAGGTGAGTTGAGAGACATAGAGAAAAGTGCTTTTGAAGAGATAAGTGCTGTTGAGTTTCTGAGTTAAAAAAGCACTTTTGACAAGAATTTACTTTAGAACATAGATTTTGTGGGTCACACTGTGGGCTCCACTTTTTGCTACAACTTTATTCCCTCACGTCCAATCTCCTTTGACTTATCTTTGGTAATGATTTGACTTTTGACTAATTAATTATATTCTTTGGATTTTGTTATTGGGCCTAATTAAACTGTTGATGAGCCCAAAAATATAACTCTTTGTCATTACGATATTTTATATAATAGATTATATATGTAATATCAATTTATCTATATAAATTATCAAAAAAGTCAACTCCAGTAAGGCTAACATCATACCAGGCTCGTGCATCCCAAATTCTAAAATCTAAAATGAATGAATATGATCGTTGCTATGTTTTCAATTAGTAATATGACTGGATTTCTCTTTGATGTAGTTACTATATTTGTGAGATATACTCGTTTATTTCATTATCGCAATATTAATTTCTTACAATATTTTAATTATAATTAATGCTGAAATTCAATCAAAATCATTCATTATTTATTTAATTCACATAAAGTTTAGTAAATGTTAGCCAAACAAGTTTTGACATTGTAAAAATCTAAATTAAAATTAGAAAAATGAAATTTACCATCAATTTCCTACAATTTCTTATTATAATTTATAAATTAATAGTACAGTTACAGTAAGGTTACCCTAATTTTACATTAATATTATTATTTGTCATGTGGAGAGAGGACAAAATACAATTAAACAAAAGCAAATAACTTCCAAACTGAAACTAATTAATAAATAAACATAATTAGAATTTGAAATCCAGATCCGATTGGGCATTAGTGGGACTCATTTAATCTAATTAATAAATATAAGATTAAATAATAATGGATGGTGACGTGGTAGCTTGAAATCATCTTTCTAAGAGTTGAAACCAATGCATGCATGGTGACAGCAATCAAATTGTTCTCAGCTAATCAATGATGATTGTGTGATCAATTAAGCAACCTCGTTGTTTAAATAAATAAAATTTAGTTACTTAATTACTTATATTATCAGAGGATTAATTATTAATTAAGAGTAAATATCAAATATCATTAATATTATTATTGATAAGAAAAATAATACAATTATCCTAAATTATAATTACAAAAATACCAAATTAAATAATTAAGAAAATATATTGGTGGATATCTAGCCATATGTCATGGGTCAACTCTGGATGAAAACCCAACCTTCTACTACAAAAAGACTCATCGGCCTCTACTTTTTAAAAGCTCCAACAGTTTGGATTGAGTTTATTTACAATTCGTCGCAAGAATATAAATTTTGGTAGTAAAATAGTATTTTAAAAGTCTGTGGATAGAAAAGTATCATTAAATTATGAATAAATTTTACAAAGACACATACAAATGGGGTATACAAAGATAATCTACACCCTTGATTTTCATGATTTATCTCTCTCTCTATTTTTCTTTTTCCATTTTTTTCTTATTTTTTTCTTCTGACTGATGTCACTTTGTAGTCCTCTTTATATGGTCTTTGTAAAGATATCATTTTTCTTAAATTATTACTTGGTTGGGAAAAAGTTCGTTAACTCATTTTAGTGAAGATATGAAATCAATCTCCAATTTGGTTGTTCTAAGATATGAAATTTTAGGTGCTTTCTTATTTGAAATATAAAAGTAATTGTGATAGTTGTTTTTTAATTAATTAAAAAGTAATATAAACATGTGTTTATTAACCGGTTAGCAATTATGTACCAACCCACATTTTTAAGACGGTTGCGATTTGAGAACGACAACGATGGCGGTGAGAGGTTTATTGGCAATGGCGGCAACCATGGCATTGATTCTTTTTCATTTTGCAGGTATACGTGTTCACGCAGGAGTTGATCATCACCTTCTCTGGTCTGATTCTAGTCCTGGAATGATCTTCACTTTCTCCCTCGGTGACAATCTGGGTAAGCTTCTTTCTCTATTTCTTTTCTTTCAATGGCTGCGCTATATTTAATAGGGGTGTGAAAACTACCCTAAACTTGAAAACCGAAATCGGACCAAACCAGCTTGTAAGGTTTGATTCGGTTCTATGAAAGCTTTCGGGTCTGAAAGATCATCGCTTTTTCAGTCTTGGTTAGCTTGTTTCTTTATCCTTTAATGGTTGCGCTATGACCTATATGTGTAGATGTTCACATAACACACCACAAAATTTATGAGTAATAACACTAATATTGTGAAAATTATAGAAAATACAGTTAAGATTACACATCTCCCAAAATAATTTCTTCGTTTTTAATCACTTTTTCTTGAGAAACGTGTTTTTTTTTCATAGATTTTGTTTGTTGTCGTACTTGTGAATTATAATGGTATTAAATTATGATTATGGTATATTCCATAGGTTTGTGATTTAATAATGGTATTAAATTATGATTATGTTGAGATGTGCAAGTAGGCTTCAAAGCATAAAGATTTTGAAGGGGAGTATTTGTAATTTGGAGCATATGAAGGCTTAATTTAGTTAATTTTATGTAAATGAGCTCTGATTTAGTGATATGAAAGAAAGATAGCCTCAAACAAATGAGCTTTAGGACTTTGATTTTATTCTTCCATATATTTAAATGTTTTTGGTGCATGAAAAGGTTTTTTTATATGCGCTATGGACAAAATCCTTGTGTAAAAAATTGCAGATTTTGAGGTAAACCTGGTATTTGGTGAGTCAACTTCATCTCCACTCCCTCAAAATCCATTCGATCTGGAAATGGAACTGTAAAGAATCAACCATCTTAATCCAACTGAAGTTTCTTTATCTTTTTTGTTCATATCCCCACCATGCCTCATTGCCTCCTATATTCCCTTCACCCTTTGTAAGAGACAATTTTGAAGGCTATTGATAGGGCACTTGGCACCTCCAAGATAGATGAAGAGACCCAAATCTTGAGACTCTTCTGAGGAAGAGAGGTAAAACACCTAATTTATTGTCTTCTTTTTAACAAATTCATGTCTCAAAGAAGTTCAACTGAGTTTCTTTCTTTCCCCCCCTTTTTTTTTCCTGTTTTACAAAAATAACAAAAAAATCCATATCCTTACAGCTTTATCTTTACCATTTTGTCAAGCTTACTTTCAGCTTGCTTCCAATTTTTAATTTTAATGGTGTGTTTTGTATCTAGAAGCTTGTATCACAATTAGAAATTATGAAATAGAGCATTGTTATTGTTTGAAGGTGGAAGTTGTGATGATTGAATGGCAGATTCAGTAAGAAACTCCTATGTTCTTATTTTCTTTCTTTTTTTATGGATTGATAATAGGAGATTCCTTTGAATGTTACTGAAAAGCTTGATCTAAAGGCAAGTAGAGTGGTTGTTGATACTTTGGTCAGGTGTCTTAGGGATTCCATCAGTTCATGAAACGTATGTGTAGAATAGATTCTGGATTCTTCAATTGTCGTAGCTGTGTCCAACTTCCTCAGGGTCAAACTTTTTTTTCTTGAACCTCATCACCAAAGATTCTATTTTGGTTTTAAAGTTTCATCTACTCTGAAGAAAGTGGTTGAATGCTTTTATTTTTTTCCATTTCCTCTCTTGATTTAGTAGCATTCATGATTCTTGGGAAACCCTTGGTAAATAAGCTGCATCTTTGGCATCTTTTTTCCTGACTTCTCGTAGTTTGTTAAGTTTGCACCTCCTTTGAAAATGATGCTCCCTCTTTTTGATTGTTATCTTCATCTGAATACTTGTGGCCCTGGATAATGAAAGAAAAAGATTGCTTGTTTTGTAAAGTTGGAGTGGTTTTTTCTTAAGGTTCTGATACCACTAACAGGAATTGTATAGAGAAAGAGTATGAGTCCACTTTGATTTGAATAACTTTTCATCACAAAATGGGGATTGATTATACTTGTATTACTTGAGAGGCTATCTGTAGCTTGTTACAAATAGAAGGACTGACCTTTAATCATACAAGGGTAGGAGTATTCTTGAGACCAACATTCAATCTGTTGTGTAAAAATCCTAAGAATCCATGTTCTAATACTTCAGTCAGAGTCTCTTGGCCATGGTTATTTGCTGTCTTCCTATTTTTCTTTCTTTTTGTTTCATCAATTAATGGACAATTATTTTCCTGTGCTAGTTTTACGATTTACTATACATTGGAGGGTTTGTAATTCTGATACAACTGTTTAATGCTGCTATGATAGAATGGAAACAGAAACTTGTGTATCAATATTATTGAACAAGTACAATTAATAGGAACATAGGAGCTGAGAACATTCTCCTATTGATATAACAAAGAATATCATAGAACAGGAGCTTTCGTATGAGAAATTCCTCTGTTCTTAGAACATTACAATGAGAGACCTAAAAGCCCATTTTTAGAATTTGCACTGCGCATGTAACTTATATTGCATCATTTGGTTACTGCCTTTGTGAAATTTCACTGGCTCTGGAGTATGTAGGTTATGATATGTTCTTGGCTCTGGAACTTCAGTATGTGTTTGTTTTTTTATTTTGTATTTTTTTGGAGGTTGCTCTTGGGGTGATTATAGCTTTAGTGATTGTTTTTGAGGATCCTGATCAGGGTTTGTTACGTTTTTATGTTAGTTAGAAGTAAAGATTTGTGAATTAATCATAACAATTAGCTTCATGTTGCAGTGATCACTAACAACACACCTGATGGCTTTCTACTGGTGAGTGCATTGCATCACATAAATTGTAATACATCGGAACCATTTAGTGTAGAGACGGGAAGTGTGACCGTGATTCCATTGACTGATACACAGACACGCTTTATAATCAGCGAACAGGCTGATCTTTGCAGAGATGGCCTCAAGTGGCAAGTGAATGTGAGAGATCCAATGTAAGGGGTCAATGAGGCTCCTTGACCCCTGTGCGTGTTTGTGGTGCTGGTGAAATGATCATGGACTCATGGTTCATTGCTTGGATTGATGGTGGTTTAGTGCGAACAGTATGGTAATCTTTGCCACTTTTTGTTGTAACTTATAATGCATCATTTGGTTGCTGCCTTAGTTGAATTGATTGGCTCTAGAGTATATTATTGCCTGTGATACCTGGTCTGACATTGCACATATATATTGTCTGTTCTGCAGCTGTTAACTTCTTGTTAATTGCTATTTTAATTTTACTAGTATGAGGAAGCCACCACTTTATTTTTTCTACACATTTCAAAAGGAGAGTGAAAAAGAGAGCGTTGCTAGCGCACTTGTTGTTAAGTTCTCAAGAGTGATTATGTTGCTAGGGCTAATGTTACTCTTATTGTTAGCGTTCCTCTGATCATCAATCTAAGGGCTGACAATGAGGGAAATTAACATGAGTCTTCATCTTAGGTGTTCCTGCTCCTGGACCTCCAGCTTTTGTAGCTCATACGAGTTCTAGTGGGGCTGATGGTATGGCGATAACTTTTAGAGGCTCAGTGGTTGTTTTTCGTTTGGGTGTAGCTTGAATAGATGAAAAAGTGTACTTTAAGCATCATATTACGTATTAAATCTGTTTAATCTTTTAGAAGCATGCTTGATCCATTTATTATTATTTGAGTTAAGCATCCAACGGTGGGTTTGTTTTTTAAGGCGAATTTGTTTATGGGTATCAATGAGATTTTGCTTCAAATCCGAGATGAGTTTGAGAGGTGATCGGAATTCGTAGAAGGGGAGGGAGTATGAGTTCTTCAAGGGGAGGTGATAGAATTTTCTCTTATTTCTTTTTTAGTCAAAGGGGTAAGGGGTTTCAATGATCCGTTTTAGTAGTTGGGTAGATAGTTATCCAAGTTCAAATTGAAATTGGGCTTTGGGCCAGGCAGCCCTTGAAATATGACTGGTCTTCGTATATTAAATGTGTTTAATCAGTTAACAGCACACTTAACCCGAATTGAGAGATAACCACACTTTGTAGGAGTAGCGATAGTACAACTTCTTCAAGGGTGGAGACGCAGCGGAGCAGACAGGGTTGTTGAAGCGGGAGAGGAAAGTGAAGCTTGATCACTGATGAGATGAGTAATGTGAGTTGAGAGACACATGGTTGTTGATGAGATGAGTCATGTGAGTTGAGAGACATATAGATATAGATAAGTGCTTTTGACTTCCGACTTTGAAAAAAACCCTTTTAACAAAGAATTGAGAACATAGATTTGTGGGTCACACTGTCGGCTCCACTTTTTAGTTTTTATAGCAACTTTATTGCTTGAAATCCAATCTCCTTTAGATTATCTTTTGTTAATGACCCGAAAATATAATCGCATATACTCAACAAATTAAATCAATCAATCAAACAACCTAATAGATTATATATAAAATATCAATTTACCTATATAAAACTAATTAAATTGATTGTGTTTTACTTTTAATTTGACTTTTTAAAAAAGGTCAAGTAAATAATTTTTCCATAAATTATGAGGTTTTGCTGCAAATTCGAGATGAGTTGTAGAGTTGATCGGAATTCGTAGGAGGGGAGGGAGTATGAGTTCTTCGAGGGCAGAGATGACGACGAAGATACAGGGTAGACGAGAGCGTTCGGTGGTGATTTGGCGTCAGGAGGTAATAGAGTTTTTGGAGTCGTTGAAGCGGGAGAGGAAAGTGGAGGTTGATGAGTCCGGTGAGTCAAGTTTGCGAGTTAACGATGATAATAAGTGGTTTACAATTTAGCACTTTTGGTTAAAAAAACTGAAACAAGGGCTTCAGCAATCAGAAAACGCAATGTCTGCTAGTATACATATTCATTCCAACATGAATAAATGAAATTCAGAAAGACATATCAACCAAAATAAGAAATTTTTAGATACACGAAAAAGAAATAAATAATAAAATAATGAAGCAAATATGGATTGGCACTCATGAGGCAAGGCGTCAGGGATCAACATAGACGTACAACCTGAGCGTTCTGCAGAAATTGCCGGAAATGAAGTACAGATCGCCGGGTTGAGTCAGAGAGATAACGGTGTCGCCGTCGTCATAAACTTGATGCGGCTTCTTTGAATCTGTATTACAGGTGGTGTATAACAGTTGGGGTACTTCTTCCACGTCATAGTCTTGGGTGTACCTGAAAACTGCCCCAATAACAACACATCAATCGTTAAAAACAAATTTAAAGGGAAAATCAAGTTAGAGAAATATATGAACTTAGAAGTAGTACCTAGAGCGTCTCCCACGCGAGCCTGAATGGTTGAAATATCAGAATCAGGACTCCAACCTTTAGATCCACCCACATAAATGGTTGTAGCACCTGCAGAGCAGAAGCAGCAGAGGATGAAGACAAGCAGAGCGAAGTTTGGAGCCATTAATGAAATTAAACGTGACTAGAAGAAGTTAAAGAAGAAACAGAGCAACCGAAGTTTTAGCGTAGCGAGAAGCAGTAGCTGGAAATTATAAGTAGAAGAAATGTTGCCATTATGACATTATCTCTTTATTTAACTCTACCCACGTTGAATGAATAATCATGATCCACCCGCATCTTCCAGAATCTTATTACCATTCAAGGAAATTGCCTTTGTTTAATGGGCAAAGGACAAGTTCCCACACAAGGTTTGGCCAAATCACAATTCCCATCCAAAAGGTTTCAAAACGATAGTTTGCCTCCCATCCATCCAATTTTTCCGTTATTTTTAACTGCAGAAGGAGAGAATAGTATATCCAGCTTATTTTAATTTTTTATTTTCTTTTAAATTATTAAAACATTTCAAAAATTATATAAAATAAATAGAAATTTTGAAAATTAAAAAATTGTCGGCCAATTGCTGCTGGCGATTCTCAGAACCATCGACGGTGGCCAGTCTACTGCCACCGCTGGCACTGTCGGGTAGATCTCAAGTCGATTTATCCAATGGTACAAATAGAGGAGCCATTGTTGACAACACTTGGCTGGAAAAGTGGTAGACGTTTCTCGCTTTTTTGGGTCAAATGCCGTCGACGACGACTTCAACACAATTAACAATCAATCACACCACCCGCTTTTCCCTTCGTCCGAATCATGGCCGTGCCCTCACGGATCTGCCTCAATGCCGGTGGTTGTTGAGATATTGCAGAAACGTGTTCCAATATTTCCTTTTTTGTCTCGTATCGATTGAAGGAGGGTCAAACTAGCGGTGGAGAAGGAAAGAAGACTGGAAGTAAAGATAAAACTGAATGGTGGTGGTGCTGGCAGTGGTTCTGACTACGAGAAGAAGTGGCTGTAGAGGAGTAGCAAGAGGAGGTGGCGGCGAAAACGAAAGCTACAGTGGCTGACATTTTTTTTTTTTTTTTTTTCTGTTTTCTGATTTTGTATAAAGATCAAATTAGGAGAGAGTTCTGATGGCAAAAACTTGAAAGAAACGAGAGGTGTTTGGGGAGAATTTGGGAAGAGGGAGAGGGGGGAGAGGTGAAGAGATGCAGATGGAGAATGAGTGATATATATCAAGATATGAAGGGGGGAGGCAAGTGGAGATGAAGAAGAAAGGTATAATTGAATGGAAAGAAATGAAGGAGACCGGTTTTTGAGAGTGGATGAGATACTGAAGTGGGTTGGTTTGTATAATTAGGAGAAAGAAGAAAGAAGAAAAGAGAAAAAAAGAATTAGGGATTTTGCTTTTCAATTTTATATAAGGGTGAATTGACATAATTGCCCTTTAATTGTTTTGTGAAATTACTATTCTATCCTTCTGTTGTTAAAAATAACAGAAAAATTAAATGGATGGGTGGGAAACTGTCGTTTTGAAACCTTTTGGGCGCGAACTGATGTTAGGCCCAAACCTTGGGTGGGAACTTCTCGCTCGTCCTTGTTTAATTCGCTTTCATGTACAAGCATTAATAATTTGACATGTCACGTACCGTACCATCTGCTTTAGGCACATGTCATAAGACTCTATAGAGTCTCTCCACATGTCATCTCTTCAAGCTTATATCCCCACGTGGCCTCCTTCCTCCAATTTGTTTTTACTAATTTTTTCTTAATTTTAAAATGATAATAGAATAAATTAAAAAGGTAGACAATTAATATAGGGATAATTACATCACCCCCACGTAGGTCGCCTAATATTCCAAGCCCCCGCACATATGGGAAATTGGACCATAACCCCTATTTTTGACGAACTGTTTGGTTAACTTATCAATCTTAAGGGCATATAAGTAATTGAGCTAGGACTAAAAAACTCTAGCAATAAAATGCTAATATAATTCGTTTGTGTTTAGATTGGACTAAAGGGTTCTCTAGCACCCAAAGTATTGCCTGACCCCTAAGACAAACAAACACTTTGAACCATAGCCGGGGTTACGGAAAGGCTTTCCGGAGAAGAAGCACCGCTGACCGTCGAGAAGGTTTCCATTACTGAGTGCTAGTGTTGAATGTAAGTATGTAACAAGTACAGTTAGCAACGTTGCATTATTCCTATTCTATAACGACGAAACAAGTGAGTAGTTCTACTATAAATGGAGAAAATGAAAAAAAAAAAAGTTATTTTTTCCATGTTTATTGGCATGAGCTGATGATATGTTTCATTGTTGATATATTTCGCTGTGAAAAATCGTTCTTTTTTCCAATGTATTTGGGGGTGGGTTGGTTGTTTTGGTGTGGGTTTCGGAGGGGCAGGTTATGACAATGGTTATTACATGTAACCATTATTACATGACTATTGATATCTTTTTATGTGAAAAATCGTTCTCTTTTACAATGTGAAACATGGATATTTTTTTAGGGATTTTTCGTTGTGGGTTTCTCATATACAGGTTTGGTAACAATGGTTACATGTGACTTGTGAGAAATGGGTATTTTGCTGTGAAAAATACCTTTTTTTCTTTGTATTTTTTTTATACCTTTTGCTGTGAAAAATCCTTCTTATTTTACAATGTGAAAAGTGGGTATTAACATTAGAAAAGAATCCCCCTTGATGTATATTGATGATATATTGAAGAAGGACAAGTACCTGTTGACATACCCTGAGATTGAGTACACACCACTACAGCCACCTGTGGTGCAGAAAACGCTAGGAGACCAAGAACAGCAAGGAAACGTGGGACTGGGGTGAAGAAAAAGAGGGAGTACATTGAAGAAAATTGGAACT